CAGATATCATCCTCCTATTTATTATTCTGAATCTGGTGAACCTAGAACAAGGGATACAGAATTAATAGCTATGGTGACGTGGGTGCTGGAGTATCAACAATGAAAGATGATTAATACACTGAAACTACCTTTTAGTCTCACGGTTGGGGACACAATGGAGTGAAAAGGACTGTGACAAACGGAGAAGTCAGTGTCCTGCTAAAGAAGGACCCGACCACCCAGCCAGTTGTCACCATGTGAAAATTTGGGTGATGTTGCCACATCTTTGGATTTTCCAAAATTCGAATTATTATATGAAATGTACCAATTTGGGGGTAATCATTTAAAAATGTATTTATTTTTGGCTGCACCGGGGTCTTTGTTGCTGTGTGGGCTCGTCTCTAGCTGCAGTGTGTGGGTTTCTCATTGCAGTGGCTTCCGCTGTTGTGGTGCACAGGCTCTCGGGGGCAGGCGCTTCAGTAGCCACAGCACACGGGTTTAGTAGTTGCGGCCCCCGGGCTCTAGAGCACAGGCTCAATAGTTATAGCACACGGGCTTAGTTGCTCTACAGCGTGCGGGATCTTCCCAGATCAGGGATCAAATCAGTGTCTCTTGCTTTGTAAGGCAGATTCTTTACCGCTGAGCCACCAGGGAAATCCTGAAATGTACCAATTTTTTAAAGGTGGCAATTTATTCAGTTAAAAAAAAGAGAGAGACAAAAATCTTGTAGGTCAAATTCACCTCTTTCTGTGAGCCTCTAGGGTACAGCTTTCCTGTCCACCACCGCCCCAGGGCCCGGTCAGGCTTTTGTAGCCCTGGGAGGGCTGGAGAGAGCCTTGGAGGTCAGATCTGCCAAGCAGCCTTTCTGATCCCACGTCAGCTTCCCTCTCACATGTCCCTGAGAGAGAGGGGGCGAGAGTGGGGATGTCTGTGAACGAATGTGACTGTGCCCTGGAGGCTCTGCCCATCTCTGCCCCATCTCTCCAGCTTGGGGATTGGTCCAGAAACATATGGAAGAGGCAGGAGGATGACTTCATTCCATGCACTGGGCACCTACTACCTGCCAGTTACTGTTCTAGGTGGCAGTGATGACAAGAGGCCAGATGACATCCTGCCTGGATGGAGCTGATCTTAACCCCTGTGTGTGCAGGAGGGGCCGACAGTGTTGGGGTGAAACATGCTAGGAGAAGGAGAGCAGGGGAAGGGGGCCCAGGAGGAGCGCAGACCCTGAGGTGACAGCGAGGTGTCCAAGGTGTCGGAAGCCAAGGATAAGATGGAGATACGGCTGCTAGGGAAGGTGGAAGGTGACAGTGCTGATAAGGAACAGAGGCAGGCCCAGTGGGGCCTCTAGTCCTGCTGGCCACACTCTCTAAATGGCAGATGTAGGCCCAGAGAAGCTGCGTCCACTGTAGCAATTTCTATAACAATTTTTGTTCCTCCCCCGACTCCAGCTCACTCATGTCTCTGAACAGATAGAACTCATGTTCTCCTGTAATTCCTTTGTGTTTAACACACACACACAGGCTCAAACCTTCTGATTTCTTGAGGGTAGAAAGTCCAGTTTGTGTTCAACTCTGAGGTCTCCCCACCTTTCTGTTCCCCACAGTGCCCAGAGGTAATAGGCTTCCATATACAAATGTGTTAAATTGAAATAATGGCATGGCCTCACATCTCACACCTTAGTTTCCTGTCCTGTAAAATGGGGATGATCATGGATTGGAGTGAGGAGGAAAACAGATCATGGCTATAAACATTGGGAACCCACATAAACTGGCCTTCGGAGGCCACCTGGGTTTTCCTCTTGCTCTAAGCCGGGTGCCCCAGGAGCTGCTGGGAAAGGCTCTGGCCCTCCTCCCTCCTGCCACAACCTGGCCTCAGTTTCCTCCTGTAAGGAAAGCTAATTGGGGCTGAGGGGGCGGGCACACACTTGCCAGGGAGGCTGGGGCCAGGGACACAGGTTGCCACAAATCCCTCCTGGCTGTACTGGTCCCCTCAACCCAAATGCTTGCTGCTGCGACTTATTTTAACTAAGCCGTTTTTTTGGTCTGTAGATGTTCCATCTCCAAGTGTGGCCGGGCAGCCCCTGCTCCCACCCCACAACCCAGGCATCCAAGCCCCCTTCGTGGGTCTGTGTCCCAACAAAGGCAGGCCCCAGGGGACCAGCAGCCACCAAATCAGAGCTCAGGCTTTCTGGGAGCGGCAGGCGGAGCCCCTGCGAGACGCAAGGTGGCCAGAAATCCGGAGCCCCTCACTGGCATCTCGGTTCCCCTGAGAACCAGCTCCCACTGGAGACGGAGAGAGGGGCGCCGTCTCAGCCACCTCCCGGCTGCCCCGTCCTCTTTTTTTTCCCAGGCTGTGGGAGGCAAAGGGTTAAATCCCATAGAGCTGATGCTCTGACTCCAGGCTAGAGGGGCCCGGGAAGCTGGGGTCACTTCCTGCTCCGTCCCAGTCACCCTGAACTGGTCCCCGGGTCCTCAGCTTGGGATCACCCCTTGAGAAGGACCCTAGAGTCCTCGGCATCTAGCCCGCCCCCCGAGGCAGGGCATTCAAGGGGTTAAGTCCCCTGGGGCTGGATCCTGCCTTCCGGCTTTTCCCAGACCCCAGAGCCGTGAGTGGGGGACGCCTGGGTTCCCGGGGGGGTGGCCCGGAGGGCCCGGGACGGCCGCCTGGGAACAATGGGGCGCGGGAGGACGGGGGCCCGGGCCCGGGCGTGAGCCCCCTCCCCCGCCCCCCGGCCGCCCGGGGTAGGGGTGGGGGCCGGGCAGGGGCCGCGAGGGCCGAGGATTCTGGGAAGAGCGCGAGGGTCTGGCTGTGGGGGAGGGGAGGGCGTGAGCATTCTGGGAAGAGGGAATTCGGCCCCGCGGGCCGGGGGCTGGGGCGCCGCGGGGGAGCCGGGAATCCTGGGTGCCCCCGAGGGGCGGGGGAGGGGAGGATCCCGAGGTCGGGGTTGGAGAAAGGAAGGAGGGTCGTGGGGACCGGCTGGAGCCGAAATCCAGGGTCTGGGCCGGTGCGGGCGTGGGGGGACCGGGGCCAGGGTGGCTGCATTCCCGCAGCTGCCTCCATGTCAGGGTCACCCTGGGCCGCTTTCCACACCTCTCTGGGAGGCAGCCTCCTCCTCTTCTGCCCTCCCTCTCCCTTCGCAGTGGGGCTGGCCTGAGGTCGAGGCCCGTGCAGGCCCGATCACCTCTCACCTCCCTCGGCCCCCTTTTCTGCTCCATGTCGGCCTTGTCGTTAACCCTTTCCCTTCTACCCCGGACCGCTGAGTTTGAATTTCTCCAGAGACGATCAAGGTACATGCGTGGTCACCTGTCCTCAGCAAACACAGCAGGCCTCTTCAAAATAGGCAGGCAACCCCCAGCTTGGCAGAGGTCCTGGCTGCCACCTCCCCACAGACACTTAGGGATGGGGGTGGGGGATTCTCAGAGCCTAAGAAGCTGCAGAGATGAAGAAATTCATTTACTTCCTAAAATCTAACTCCTGTCTCTCCTGGGTTCAGCTAGCTCCTGCTTCAGTTTGGTTACCACCCAGCAGCCTCGTCTGGGGTCCTTGCACATGGCCACCCAAAGCCCAGGCCCCCATAGGGTCTCTCTTAAGGGTCTAAATGCTGTGGGGAGTTCTCCTCGCACTTAGCTCCTGTGGCTCTGTCCCCTCATCCTGGAATCTTATCACCGTTTTGGGAGTGACAGCTGCCTGTGTTTCACTCTGAGCTGTTCTGCTGCTGCCATCCTCTCCAAAGCACTGGACCAGAGAGGTTCTCTAGGAGCAAGGGGCATCTCATTCGTTCATCCAGAATTTACCAAACACCTAGTACGTGTTAGGGATGGGGTACAGCAGCAACAAAAGAGAAAATGGATTAGAATGAGGGATGCCAGGATGGAACCATAGTGGAAGGCTTCAGCAGGGAGTGTTCTGTTTCTTGTTCAGAGCTCCAGGTTGTCAGGATCCAACCCCTTCTTTCATAGCCAGGGAAACCTTCTGGTCCCAGGAATTTCTCCAGCCCTCCCATGGCCAGCAGGCTCTGACTGAGCTGTCTTTCCCCATCTGCCCACGTTTGTGAGTTTCACATGACTTTCAAGGTCATCTCCCTCTCTTAGAGGCCAGGACATGCCAGACACAGAATCCTGCATTCCTGGTCTTAGCTCTGCCACTTCCCAGCCTGTGACCTTGAAATCTCACTGGGCATTGGTTTCCTAATCAGGAAAATGGACAATGTGATTCCTGGGTCTCCTCACAGGACTTGGGGGTGAGATGATGAGGACCACATGGCAGGCACTGTGTCTGCCGTCACATGCCAGTTGGTCTGCACGCATTCATCCTGTCTCTCTTTTCCTTTCCATTTCCCTCTCAAAGTAGTTTCTGCTGAAGCCCCTGATGGCTTAAATTGCCCCCTCTCCCTACCTCTAGCCGGAGCTTCCTCTTTCTTTCTGTGCTTAGATAACGGGAAAGTGCTCCAGTCTTTTGGAATGCCCTGTCTGTCCCCTCAGGGAAATCGGGGTGGTTATTACTTTTTTTTTTTTTTAACTCTTTAAGTGTTCCAGCTAGTCTTGGTTCTCTGTGGGGCTCATAAGCAAAGTTTATTGGTCCCAATTAGCAGCCCCATTAAGGAGGAAAATTAGAGTCTTAATGAGCTTCCTCTGATTAACAAAATAACAGGTTTCCCAGCCTCTGGGCATCCGAGGGGTGGGGTGAGAGCCTCCTTTTCTGTGGGCGTCAGATGCTTCTCCAGCCCCCAGTCTGGGTTCAAAGGGTTATGACTGACGAGCTTTTAATTACACTCTTAAATTCACCTACTTGCTTAGTGGTGATCTTCAGCTCTGGAGCAGAACGCAGGCCTGCAGGGGGAGGGGGTTCGGTGAGAACCAAGGCGCAGAAAAATGGGGGAGGTAGGAGACTGCAGTTCACATCAGGAGGAATAAGGGCTGGGGATGGGGCAGATGAGGGAGTGGGGCTGGGGGAGTCAAGGCAGGCTGGAGCTCAGCTCCCTGCGGCGTGTTCTCTCCCTGCCCCACCATCACCCCCAGGGTCCCTGGAGCACTGGACAGCCCTGAGTTCCGGGATGGAACCTGAGACAGCGCTCTGGGGCCCAGATCTGCAGGATCCTGAACAGAGCCCCGACGATGCTCACCCAGGTGAGGGACACAAGAAGGGACGGCGGTCCTGAGGAGAGAATGGCCCCATTCAGGGAGGGGTGCAGGCTCTGGGAGAAACCCCGGGGGGGAGGGAAGTGAGGCCTGCCCCGGGTTCTGAAAGGAGATGGGGGCTGGAGACTCCCTTTCTCTCTGTAGGTGCAGAGAGTGGGAATGAAGAGGAGAGCGCTCAGCAGGAAAGTTCTGGGGAGGAGGTCATCTTGGGAGATCCAGATCAGAGCCCAGAATTCAAGGACCCATCAGAGGTGCCCCTGGAGACACCCTCTCAGGATGCCTCTGGCCCCCAGGATGCCCCGGCCCCGCTGGGTCACCCCAGCCCCTCGGACCACCAGACCCCTCTGGACACCCCCACCCCCAACGTAGTCCCGACCCCGTCAGACTGGACCAAGGCCTGTGAGGCCAGTTGGCAGTGGGGGACTCTGACCACCTGGAACAGCCCCCCGGTGGTCCCGGCCAACGAGCCCAGCCTGCGGGAGCTGGTGCAAGGCCGCCCGGCCGGCGCCGAGAAGCCCTACATTTGCAACGAGTGCGGCAAGAGCTTCAGCCAGTGGTCCAAGCTGCTCCGGCACCAGCGCATCCACACGGGCGAGCGGCCCAACACCTGCTCCGAGTGCGGGAAGAGCTTCACGCAGAGCTCCCACCTGGTGCAGCACCAGCGCACGCACACGGGCGAGAAGCCCTACAAGTGTCCCGACTGCGGCAAGTGCTTCAGCTGGAGCTCCAACCTGGTGCAGCACCAGCGCACGCACACGGGCGAGAAGCCCTACAAGTGTACGGAGTGTGAAAAGGCCTTCACCCAGAGCACCAACCTCATCAAGCACCAGCGCTCGCACACGGGCGAGAAGCCCTACAAGTGTGGCGAGTGCCGGCGGGCCTTCTACCGCAGCTCGGACCTCATCCAGCACCAGGCCACCCACACGGGCGAGAAGCCCTACAAGTGCCCCGAGTGCGGCAAGCGCTTCGGCCAGAACCACAACCTCCTCAAGCACCAGAAGATCCACGCCGGCGAGAAGCCCTACCGCTGCACGGAGTGCGGCAAGAGCTTCATCCAGAGCTCGGAGCTCACCCAGCACCAGCGCACGCACACGGGTGAGAAGCCCTACGAATGCCTGGAGTGCGGCAAGAGCTTCGGCCACAGCTCCACGCTCATCAAGCACCAGCGGACTCACCTGCGCGAGGACCCCTTCAAGTGCCCGGTGTGCGGCAAGACCTTCACTCTGAGCGCCACGCTGCTGCGGCACCAACGCACGCACACGGGCGAGCGGCCCTACAAGTGCCCGGAGTGCGGCAAGAGCTTCAGCGTCAGCTCCAACCTCATCAACCACCAGCGCATCCACCGCGGCGAGCGGCCCTACATCTGTGCCGACTGTGGCAAGAGCTTCATCATGAGCTCCACCCTCATCCGCCACCAGCGCATCCACACGGGCGAGAAGCCCTACAAGTGCTCCGACTGCGGCAAGAGCTTCATCCGCAGCTCACACCTGATCCAGCACCGGCGCACGCACACGGGCGAGAAGCCCTACAAGTGCCCCGAGTGCGGCAAGAGCTTCAGCCAGAGCTCCAACCTCATCACGCACGTGCGCACGCACATGGATGAGAACCTCTTCGTGTGCTCCGACTGCGGGAAGGCCTTCTTGGAGGCGCACGAGCTGGAGCAGCATCGGGTGATCCACGAGAGGGGCAAGACCCCGGCCCGAAGAGCTCAGGGCGACGGCCTCCTGGGGCTCGGGGACCCTGCCCTGCTGACCCCACCCCCCGGAGCCAAACCCCACAAGTGTCTGGTCTGCGGGAAGGGGTTCAACGACGAGGGCATCTTCATGCAGCATCAGAGGATCCATATTGGCGAAAACCCCTACAAAAATTCGGACGGCCTCCCCGCCCACCCCGCCCCCAAGCCGCCTCAGTTCCGATCCCCCAGGCTTCCTTTTGGAGGGAATTCCTTTCCCGGTGCTGCAGAGGGCAGAGCCGACCCGCCCGGACAGCCCTTTAAAATGCCCGACGGGCAGGAGAGCTTCAGCCACAGGCTGGGTCTGTCCTCCTCCAAGTCCTACATCTGTTCGCACTGTGGCGAGAGCTTTCTGGATCGCTCGGTGCTCCTCCAGCATCAGGTCACCCACGGCAGCGAAAAGCCCTTTCTCTTTCCCGATTATCGGATTGGCCTTGGGGAAGGGGCAGGGCCCAGTCCCTTCCTCAGTGGAAAGCCCTTTAAATGCCCCGAATGCAAAAAAAGCTTTGCCCTTAGCTCAGAGCTGCTGCTGCACCAGAAAGTCCATGCCGGCGGGAAAGCCCAGAAGAGTCCAGAGCTGGGGAAGAGCTCCTCCGTCCTCCTGGAGCACCTCAGGAGCCCCCTGGGGGCCAGACCCTACAGCTGCTCAGATTGTGGGGCCTCCTTCCTGGATCGCCTGGCTCTCATCCGGCACCAGGAGACCCATGCCCGAGAAAAGTCCCCCACACCCGAGGACCCCCTCCCAGAGCCAGCCACCCTGTCCACAAGCCAGGAAGGTGAGGGAGAGGCCCCCGCACCCACAGAGAGCAGCAGCCATGAGGAAGGGGGAAGCCCCAAAACCAGCTTGGAAGAAAAGCCCTATTTGTGCCCCGAGTGTGGAGATGGCTTCACAGAAGTCTCAGCCCTCCTCCTCCATAGGAGCTGCCACCCCGGGGTCACCCTGTGAACAGGGTCTGGAGACCAGAGGCCTCTCCCTCCTGAGGGGAACACTGGGTCTCCCCAAAAGTTACGTGGGGAAAGGAGGAAAACCCTATCAGATTGTAGAGAAGCAGAGGATAAAGAATTGTGGGTAAAAGTAGTGCTTTTACATCAGTGATGAATAATCCTTTAAAATTGTTGGTGGGAACCACTAAGGCAGTAGAGAAAAACTGTTGGGTTAGAAACCCTATAAATATGTAGGAAAAAAAAAAGCCCTTTAAGTCTGTAGCAGAAAAACCCTATAAACCATAGTGGATAAAAGCCCTATTAATTGTAGGAAGAGGTCTCAATATGTCTCTAGACAACCCTATAAAACTGTATCAAAAACCTAGTGAAACTATAGGGTCGGGGAAGCACAGGGAATCCGACAGTGGCGTCGACTTGGGAGGAGGGACCCTTAGAAGGTGTAGAAGGACCTCCTATGAACTCTCTCCACAGCGTTCTCTCCCCCAAGAGTGTGGGAGGGAGCCCGTCTGCCAGAGCCGGGGACAGTGACACCGAGGAAAATGCTGGGCTGGGGGAGGAGCGTGGGAATGAGGAGGAGCCCTCCGATTCCCCAGAGGAAAAATGACCCAGGAACTAGGAGGAGAAGGTCCAGTTCAAGGCACTGGGGGTTCCGTGGGGAACGAGGGCAGTCTTAGATGATTGTGTGTGAGAGAGGAAGAGGCCCATGGAACTCCTCATCAGAAAGAACCCCAAAAATGGGGAAGAAAAAAACACGTCCAGTCTGTTTAAAGGCCAAAGTTTGGGGTGCATAAAAGCTTTAAGTGTAAGGAGACTAGGAAACCACCACAAAAATTAGGAGGGAAGAGTAGGGTGATTTGTTAGAGTGCTTTGAGGAAAGCGAACCAAGGTGGAGAAGCCGTTGAGATGGAACCCAACAAACCCCAGGCTGCCCAGTCCTCCCTGTTTCAGAAGCTTGTCAAACTGCAAGTACAAGCAGCTCCTAGCTCAGGCCGCCAGAGTTCCCCGCACCCCCGAGCCAGGCAGGACTCCCCTCTCCCCAGCACAGCTGGGGAATATCTTTGCTGCAAGGCGTCCAGGGATGGAGGGTCCCTCCTGCCACATTCTCAGGTCTCACTGTCGGGAGGCTTCTCCTGCAATCTAACTGCCACCAGTCCTGAGGCTGTGGCAGCCCGTTTCCTTACATTCTGTCCTCAGAGAGGGAGAAGCCTTGCTAGTCGACCTCCAAAGAATAAAGCCCTTCAGAGACACGAGGTCTGTGTGTGGTCAAATCCTGGCCAGACTTCTCTTAAGTGAAGAGCACCACCTTTGATTCTCTGGCAACAAGGGACAGCAGAATGGACAGAATCAAGAGCCTGGATTAGCCAGCAGCCTGATTTTTAACCTCATTCTCATCTGAGCTGTTAGCAAGACAGCAAGAGGACACGTAGTGATGGGTGTCCAGAAGCCCCACAGACTGGACCGTGGGTCCCTGAAGAGTACGCGGAGACCTCACCACCTTCCTCACCCGGGTACCCGGAGCACTCTGAGGTTGCAGCAGCCCAGCCCAACTGTGGTCTTGGAAAGAAGACAGAGTCCACCCACTTGGTTCCTCTCCTCCTTAGCCAGAAACCTTCAGAGGGAGACAGAATGATGAGAAACACACTCCCTGGCCAGGCCCATCTCCTGTCCTCACACACCATGTACGGTGACATACTTTCATTAAGCCTGCCAAACCTGCTCCCATGGCGGGGAATGAGACTGTTGTCCTCTGAAATGGTTGAAGAGCAAAAACTTGTGAAACATCCATATCAAGAACCCCACCCCTTAACCCCAGAGACCCTTAAAGGAGGACGGGACCCCCTGTCCAGAGCTGGGTCCAGAGGAAGTGCCCACTGACAGCATGCTGGCCCCAGTAACGCGCTGTGGTACAAGTAGAACTGAGATTCCAGGTGGGGAGTCATGTCCCTGGAGAGGGTGACCCGGCTTCCTACAAACCTGTGGAAGAGACCTCTGATTCCATTACCTAAAAGTTCAAAAGGTGAAAGTCCATCACCCTTCATCTGTCCTATTCCCAAAAGGATGACCCTCAAGTTCAAAGACTGAAATCTAGAACACTGTAGGAGGAAAAGCCTAGGCCTCCTGGGGAGAAGGAAAAGGCAGGTCTTGGGGGACTATGAGAAGACCCTGATCAATATCTGCATAAAGCCCCACCCACCCAAGTGCCAGGTCAGAAAGCACCACCAGGAGGGGAGGACCCTGCCTGCCTCTACTGACAGCATGGACCAGGAGGTGTCCCTCTGAGACTGAGGAAGAGACCATTCTCCAAGCAGGTTTTTTTTTTTTTTTTCCTCTAAGATGGCAGCAGAAAGAAAATTCAGTTGTAGAGACAAACCCCTTGTAAAACTAGAAGCAGATCCTCTTGGAAATAGGCCTGAGGAATCAGTCTCCAGAAGGGCCCAGGAGAGCAGTTTTTGGGGCTCAGGGCCCGTCTGGGGGCAAGATGGGTGGTCAAGGCTGACTGAGGACCTATTGAGGACTAGGGTGTAGCATACATAGTAGGATGCTCGCATGTCATAGGGTGAGGGCCAGGGGTCTTGGCTGTGGTACTGAATGGATGATGTGGACACAATTAGTTGGGGTCTGGGGTTTCATAGCAAGAAAGGGGGCAGAGTCAGAGACTTTTGGGGTGTGACCTGTTCTCTGTTGCCCACCTCCCCAAACTCTTTTAGCCAGCTGCTTTCCTCCCAGAGCGAGCTACATCTTGGGAAGAACTAAGCAGGGAGCAGGCTGGGGGAGGCAGCAGCTTCGAGTCCTGACCAGCTCAGGCCAAGGCCCAGGGGATCGTGGCACTTTCCCACCGGAAGTGAGTCGGGAAGGCAGAGTGAAGCCAAACCCTCCTGTCCAACTCCACGCGAGCCTGACTCTTTAGACAGGCCCTCCTGGAGGAGCGCAACACAGGGTCACAGCATCATTGGTGAAAGTAGAAGGGAGAGTAGAAACTGATCTGAGCTTAGGGTGAAACTTGAAACTGCTATGGATATGGAGGTCAGAAGGGAGCCCGGGAGAACTTGCCGTGAATCCTGAATGGCGGGGAAGCTCGAAACCATCACAACCAAGAGGTGGGGTTCCGTCACACCTGCCCCTCAGGTGAGCAGCCCCGACTATTGCCCCCACTCATCTGACTTGTCCCCTTGGAGTGAAGAAAGGCCCCACTTTTGAGTATTGTGTGTCAATAGCAGTGTTGTGTCAGCGGTGGTCATGTTGATTAGTTGAAGAGAATAAAGGGAATAAGATTTCCCAGGTGTTTTCTATCTTCTCTTTCAAGCTCAGAGCAAGCTGAGAGAGTCCGTTCTCTTCTAGGGCAGGGTCCACATGTAACTCAAAAGCTCAGCCCAGCCCTGTTCCCAGAGGCCGGAAATCTTCATCCGGTGCTTGCTGGTGGGAGCCTGAGGGTTTACAGCTTTAAAATCTATCCTCTTGGGAGACGGCGGGGGGGGGGGGGGGGGGGGAATGTGCTGAGAAGGTGGCAGAGCTAAGCAGCACAACATGCTGACTTCTGGTGGCAGCCTGCTGACTTGCACTGGGCTGGCTCAGGGCCAGCTCTGCTGCCCCAGGGAGCCCTCTCTAGCCACGACACCCACACCCTCTGCAGACTGCCACGAGGCACAGCGCCCAAGATCTAGTTCCAGAAGCTGGCAGCCGCCTCCCCTGGTTCTCCTGGGTTCTGGACTGGGCCCAGCCCTTCCTCTGGACCAGAGCCTCCTAGACCCTGAGGAGAGTTGGGTGGAGACCTGGTTTGTCCTCTCACTCTCAGGATGTAGCCTGTGAGCCCCCAACATGTGGAGAGGCTGAGGCTAACAGAAAGCTGCCATTTACCTAAGATCTACTACAAGGTGGTGAGGGAAACCAGAATGACCAGGAGCAAGCTCTGTGTACAACCAAGCCTCTCCTCCCCCACCGCTGGGCCTGCCCGGGCCTGGCCTGGGCTCCACACTGTCTGGGTCAGGCGGGGATGCGCCGCTGAATCCTCCTTGCCGGCTTGCCTCAGCACTATCTCCTGGGTCTAGACCTTGCCCTGGTCCGAGTGGCTGCTCGAGGCAGCTCTAACCCAGGGCCTGCCTCTGCTCCAGTCTGCTGGGGGTCTCCTGCCCCAGCCAGGAAGCTGTCTCCACACCTTCCCTTTGTCTCTGTAACCCCAACTCCCAAGGCAGGCTCAATTGTCTCTTCTTTCCCTTCTCCATCTGGAAAGCAAGGGCTGGGGAAGGGGGAAAGAGAAGAGGGAATTGCATTTCATGAAGAAGCAAGTAATGAAGACTATTCTGTATTTCCTGGAGACACTGAGGTCCATCAGCACAGGAGTCCTCTGTCAACTGAGGGGACTCCAGAGGAAGAACAGACACTGGAGCCCATTGATTCCTTTTTTAAAAGTATTTATTGGGCAGCACTGGGTCTTGGTTTCAGCAGGTAAACTCTTTGTTGTGGCATGTGGGATCTAGTTCCCTGACCAGGGATCGAACCTGAGCTCCCTGCCTTGGGAGTGCAGAGTCTTAGCCACTGGACCACTAGCAAGTTCCCCATTGGTTCTTACTTAGCAGAAGGGGTTGGATTCAGGCATAGTACCTGCCACAGCAGAGGGGCAGGAAATTGGCTAGAGGCAGTGACCTGAAGGATGAGGGCTGCAGGAACAGGAAATAGTTAAGTATCCAGGTCAAGGGGTGGGGTGGGAGCTAGAGAATGCATAATAGGTGTCAGCTTAAGAGCATAGTGGGGTGGGAACTGAGAAAAGGCAAGAGAGCAGAGGCTGGACTGTGGGGTACCTTGGAGTAACTTGGGGATAAGGACACCATTGGGGGAAAGGGGAATTAAGGAGTGACATGATCTTACCCCCATCCTCCCACTCTGGCCATGAATGGTGGCAATTTGGTAAATGATATGAGGAACACCAGCAGAGTATAGCACCAGAGAGCCCCAGGGAAGTGTTATTTATTTAAATCAAGTTTCAAAGAGCCTTGCTGTTTTTTAGATGTAAACATTTAATGTGTGTGTGTCAACTCAGTTGCCTCTAACTCTTTGCAACTCCATGGACTGTAGCTCACCAGGTTCCTGTCCATGGAACTCTCCAGGCAATACTGGAGTGGGTAGCCATTCCCTTCTCCACCAAGGGGATTTTTAAGAGTGATTGAAATCAAATGCTCCACTGGAACCTGTGGCCAATCTCACTGGAACCTGGCTAAAACAGGTACCTTTGCCACTAAGGCCAACATCTGCTCACCCACACAGGCCAGCCAAGAGCCCAGGTTATCAGAGACATTGAGTTTACCGGTGCTTGGAAGGGATCAAGCACACTGTGGGGGAAGGGCCTGCCCAGCTCCAACAGCAGATCTTCCTGGTATTGGGCAGGCTCATCCGAAAACCAACATTTCTGAGGAACTTACTGCTCCTCCTGCAGCATGAGTGCAGCTCTTCCCACAAATTTTGGGATTTTTATCCCACTCCCTTGGGCGCAAGCTTGAGAAAGTGGTTTGGTGTCTATTAAGTATGAGGACTCGGAGTTTTTAGACCCCCCCCCCCCCCCCGCCCCAGGATATAGAGACTGCTTAGGAGAGGTATTTGGGGAAGTGACGTAGTCACTTGCATTTGGTAAGGAGCCCACGTGGAGGTGACTCCTGGGAAAGAGGATAGAGCTCAGAGAGGATTGGCTGACCTCGACCTGCTCCAGGGCGCAGCGCTCCTTTCTGAGCCAGACGGCATCTCTATGATGCAATATGCTGCGTTTTTTCCCCACCCTGGCCACCACTGCCGGGGGCCGCGGACACTTCCTTGGCGGCCCGATGCCATCCCCCGCCGTGGCTCGTGCCTCGGCGAGCGCGCCCACCGCCGGCAGCCCTGCACCGGAAGTCAATGTAGCCCGCGTCTCCGTCTCGGGTCCGACCTGGACCAGCCGCTGCGGCCCCGCCGAAACCTCAGGCGCCAGATGGAGCCCGAAGGCTGACAAGGCCGCGAGCCCCAGCGAAGGTGCGACTCCTGATAAGGCCGTGGGGTCGCACAAGGGGGTAACTGCTAACACACCGGCCACCGCTCCCGTGGCCATGGCTCCAGTTCCAGCTTCAGCGTCAACACCCAGCCTGGTCATCACCGTCCCGAGCGCGAGCCCCAGCACAGCCTCGGTGAAGGGTCCGGCTGCGGACCCAACAGCACACTGAACCCACAAGCGCCGCTAGACACGGTTCCCGAGAACGTGGCCAGAGGACTGCAAGTCCCAATGAAGGAAGTCACCCGCTGAGGTGTCCCGTCTGTCCATCCGTAGGGGAAGGGTGGGCGAAGCCGCTGGGAAGACATGGCCCAGACTGAGTGTACAGTCCCGGCTTTCCTCCGAGGACCTGCCACTAGGTGAAAACATGGGACTACATTTCCCAGGATGCAGCTCAGGGCTCCCGGCTTCCCTGCGGCCAATGATCGCGAGCGGTGCGGGGGGGAGGGCGTGGCGTGGCAAGCCTGAGCTGCTGAGATCTAGGGACCCTAGTGACGGCTCTTCCCGGTGGGAACAGGAGAGCAAGCTGGCGGCTGAGTGCTGACCACGACTTTCTCCTTGCAGACATGCCCCCCCCACGGGCCCAGTCTGGGACCACGGACAACAGTATAATAAGCAGGTGTCAAGACTGAGGTCTGATCTGTGCAGGCCCTCTAGGTTCACTCACCAGCCAGGGAGGAGCTGGGAATAAGTTTTAACAGCCAAAATCCTGGACCCACGTTTAGGGCAGGAAGCCTAGCTCCGGACTATAGGCTGAGTGTTGGACGTTTATTCAAAACAACAGCCTATAAAAGACATCTTTAGAGCAGGGGCTGTGGATCGGAGTGGACCCTTGCAACCTGCCAGCAGCTCCACCTCCCGGGCCCCCTCAAACTGCCCTTATAGCCCATAAGAGTTTACTTGGGCAGACAGCACAAGAAGCATCATACAGGTACAGGCTCAGTCACAGGGCATTAGATGAAACTCTTCTACCTGGAATGATTGGAAGTTGGCACAGCGGGCTAGTCTGTCCCTTTCCCCATGGGAAGTTCTGCCTCCACTAAAGTTAAGGCCACCCGGATGAAAGCAGGGTCGGGGTGAGGGACCCAGCAGAGACCTGGGAAGCATGAGGTGGGTGTTAAGTCGGGCCTGGGAAGGGAGGAGAGATGGGGAGCAGTCTGATTAGGATAGAAACTGATGATCTTGGTTCAGCACTCCCCAGATGAGTGCAACGTGACTGCAGCAAACTTGGAGCCTCCCAGAAGAGGACAGTGCTCCCACCAAGGGAATGCTCTTAGCATAAGACCAGACCAAAGAGCCCAAGCAACTCCACAGAAGGGAAGGTCTGCTCAGATCTGGGGAGCAGAGAGTGAAGGAAAGTATCCCTGGGCCCCAGGGCCGTCTCAAAGCAAGGAGCTGAGGACCTGACCCACCCCTGGTCCTAACTTGTGGGTGTGTTAAGTAGGTAGTGAGCCTCCACTTGTGTGGGAGGTCACAGCTTGGGGAATTTCCACTTTTTCGCTGGGATGGGCCTGTAGAAAAAGCTGGAGAAGGGTTAGGGCCAGCTGCCAGCAAGTTTCCTTGAGTCCTCTGGGCCCCTCAGGGCTCTCACAGCAGACCTTTCCTGCAGGGCGAGTGCCTCCTAGGCTGCAGTTCTGACCGTGGGGAAAAGGTGAAACAGCTTGGCCAATCCCACACCCACTAGCATGCACTAAGGCCCCTGAACCAACGACGTGGGGAGGGGCTGGGCCCACAGGGTCCAGAATGGAAGGTGGGGGACACTGGATGTGGGGTGGGGTGAGACTGGAGGCACAGCCCCCAGGGTCCATGGTGTTCCAAAGTCCCCTGAGTTACGTGTTCAGCTGATGTAGACACGGTGGAAGTCGTGGGCACCAAAGGCGGCGTTGCACTTGGGGCACTTCCTCTGGCGGGCCTCATAGCGGCCCCGCACACACTCGAAGCAGAAAACGTGGAAGCACTTGGTAAGGACTGCATCTTTCTTGCGGGTGTTACAGCAGGGGCAGGTCAACCGCGCCTGGGCCGGGCAAAGGCGTCAACTCAGGAACACTCCTGACAGTGCCCAGATCCCAAGCTGACAGCAAGAGGTGGTTCACTCAGACCACCCCACAGAAGGCTGCACCTAACTCTCATGATAGCCCTGCGAGGTAGGGATAAGCACTTTCCACATGAGGAAACAGGCCAGGGAGCCCAGGTTTCAAAACTAGATAGTAACACAGTCTAGACTCTAACCTGGGTGGTGATGGCCAGTGGTCACAAGTCCCTGCTAAAGGGCAAGGACCCACGGGCTCCAGCCTGAGCCCCTCTGCACTGGGGTTTCATCCCTTGCCCCACTAGCCTTCTTTGGCAAAAGCCCAGTCCTGGCTTAAGCTGACTGTTTACCTTCTACCTGCTAAGTCACAGCTGGGCATGGCAGTGCCACTAGAAATCTGCTGCTCTCAACCCTCAACTGGGCCCATCCCTGGTGCTGCCCAGAGATCCTGTTGTGGGTCACTTGATTCATTTCTCTCTATGGAGGTTTTATAAATCTCTCTTTATCTTGAAATTTCCCACTTGCCGAAAGGTCTCACCTGCTACTCCAGGTAAGAAATTCCCTCCACGCAGCATTCCCAATAATCTTCCTCTGTCCTGACTGAAATCCCAGCTCAGTCCACCACCTCAGCCACTCCCCACAAGTAACACCCCTTCTCTAGCCCTCAGAATCCTACCCACCAGCATTTCACAGTCTCCACAGTCTGCAACTTCTCCAAAAGTCCTTCCCTTCTCCCCTTTCAGCTGTCTTCACCCCTACAAGATCAAACTGCTCCAAAAGGTTGTCTTTTTACTGACTCATCCTCTGTCTTTTCTTCACTCCAGGTGAGAGTCTAGGTGATCTGACCTTCACCTCTACCCAACAACCATTCCCAAGACTGTCAAACACAAAAGGTATCTTTCATCACTTGCTTCACGTGCCTTCTTGGCAGCTCTGAACTCACTCATCCCTGCCTCCTTGAAACTCTTCCCCAGTCATCTCCCTCTACACGGCTCTTTTTTTTTTTCTCTCCTTCCTTTTTAAAAAAAATTATTTATTTCATTGTGCTGGGTCTTAGTTGTGGCATGTGGGATCTAGTTCCCTGACCAGGGATTGAACCAGGACCCCGGAATTGGCAGTGTGGAGTCCTAGCCACTGGACTACCAGAGAAATTCCTCCTCCGTCCATTATTTAAGCTTTGAGGTTGCTCAGGGAAAATGACCCCTGTTTCATCTCATGCCACAGGCCCTCCCTGGGTGACCAGCTCCACATGGCTTCTGCCTTCGCCTCTGCTGACAATCCCCCAAAGTCTCTGTCTTTCACACCAGCCCTTCTCCTTTGTCCTCCCAGACAGCCTCCCAAGGAGTCCCACGAGTTAAGTTCCTCATCCTCAGTATCCTTGAGACGTCACACTCTCTAGTCTAAAACCCTTGGATGTGTCCACACTGACTACTGAACAAGCCAAGAATCTCAACCTGGCTCACTAACCTTCAGGATCTGACACTGCCCAACACCGCCTCCCCCGCCCCTCCAGGTTGTGCCTCACCAAAGGCCCATGTTCTGCCCCCTTAGCTGCCACTGCCCAGCCATGTCCTCCAGCACGTCTCCCTTAACTAGCAGCCTCCACCTCTACCTCTCCCTTTGCTGGGACCCTTCCATCTCCATTCCTCACGGCCAACCATGACTCACTCTTCAGTTTTCCTTTGGAGGCTATTCCTTCAGGAAGTCGGCGGACTGTGCCCTCCTCCCCCCCAGGGCTATTAAGGGCCTCCCCTGACTGCTCCAACCCCTCTGGCCTCTGCCATCACACTGCTCATCACTCAGAGGAAAGAATTACTTGGCTGGCTCCTTTGGCAGACTGTCAGTTTCAAGAGACCCAAGACTAGGTATAGGTCCCAGTCCTCCCACACCCAGCACTCTATCTGGCGTGGAGTACGTGTACCACACTTGAGAGCTGTCTTGATTCTCCACAATGGATTCTGCCCAGGTTTTGCTATCCTATCTTATTTCTGGGTTCCCCGGACTACCCCCTGGAGCTCTCACCAACCCCCAATGGAGATTTCTCAGGTTCATGGAGCACAACCTAGTTCCACAGCCCTACCTTGTATTCCTTGATCTCCTCCTGGAGGATTTCATCAGCGTCTGCATAAACTTCCACCTTCCTCTGCTTCTCCAGCTTGCGCCGCAGCCGGGAGATGTCCTCCTGGGGCAGGAGAGGGGGGAGGCTGAGTGCAAGGGCCCTCAATTCAAACCTGCTAACCACCCCCCCCGCCTCCACCCCCTGCCGACCACACACCTGAGCCCTCTTGAGGTTGAAGCTCTCTTTCTCCCGCGCAGCCCGGCTCTCGGCCAGGCAAGGTTGGATCTCTCGCAGCCGTGTCTGCACATGCTCCAGCTGCACCTTCAGGTCCTCGGCCAGTTGGGCTGCTTCCACGGCCTGAGGTGGGTGGAATGGGGAGGAGGGGCACAGTTGGCCTGAGCCTGCGGAGTCAAGCCTGTGGAGCCATGGCCCACAGATGCTTATGTCAACTGTCCAGTGGTTCCTGCTCTTGGGATAAGTCCAACATCTTCACTAGAACTGATTCTGTCTCCTGACCCCACCAGCCTCACCTAGGAGGTGAGGCTCCTCATTCCCAGCACTTCTGGCTCCTCACCTGCATAACCCTCTCTCCTGTCTCTAAGCCTCCACAGGGTTCTCTGCTCCCCTCAACTCCCCCAACACACAGACTTTCTCTCTGCAGCTCTCTGAAGCCTCAGCTCAAATGTCACCTCCTGAGAAAGGCTCTCCTGTTTTTCTTTCATACACTTGTATTTCCTTCGTAAGACATGCCGTGAGTTGCCTGGTGGGCACATGGTTAGTATTCCGGGCCTTCACTGCCGTGGTCTAACAAGCCATGCAGTGCGGCCAAACAAAGACATGCTGTGATCTGAAACAGTGTTCCTTAATCTGTGGGATTATCAGCTTGCTCTCTGCTCCTGGAAGCTCCCACTCCCAGCAGAGGTGTTTTGTTCTTGTGATCTCCCCAGCACGCAGTGTAGGTCCTGGTACACAGCAAGAGCATGACTAACACTGCTTAAATGAATGAACCAAGCAGAGAGAAGTCCAGGGGGAGAAAAAAGATGAAAGTCAATGTTAAGCCCTTACCATGACCTGGAGGAAGGATGTCATTCCTGACTCTGTTCCCCTCAGAAGAACAACTACCACGAGCTAGAGACGTTTCTTAAGAGTTAATACAACTATGTGACAGAAACAGGTAAACAGTGCAGTGGTCAAGACATGGGTTGTGGAATCAAGAAGACCCAGGCCCAAATTCCACTTCCACTCTTTCTTGAGTAAGTCAACTACCTCCCTAAACCTCAGCCTTCTCCCTTACAGAAAAGTAGATAACAACAAAAACTGTTGTAGGATTATTTTAAGGCTGAAACATGACCCAACAGGGAAAGTCCTCAGCACAGGGTCTGGCACACATTAAGTGTCTGAGACATGAACGGGGCTGTGGAGGGAAGCAGAGCCAGGCTCTGGCCCAGGTAATCTGCCTCACCTTCCTCTTGTTGAGCTCCAGGGCCTGGCTGCGTAGTGTCAGCTCCTTCTCCACACCTCCGAGGCTGCCCTGCAAGGCTCGCTCTTTTTCCTCCAGCTTCTGCACGGTCAGCAGCTGGGCATCCACCTGAGGACAGGAGTCGGGGGGTACTCAGTGCTGGGGAGCCCTACCTCTCCAGTTCTACCCTAACAAGCCCGGAGCAGCCCTACCTGGGACTTGAGGCCAAGAACCTGCTCGCCCAGCTCGTCCTTCTCCTCCCGCAGCAGCTTATGAATCTGGTTGGCTTTGATCCGCTCTGACATCAGCTTGAAGTTGGCGTCATCCTTTTCTCGCAGCTGCTGGAGCAGCCGCCCATTTTGCTCCTGCATGTCCTCAAAGGCCTGGCCAGTCACATCCATCTCTGACAGCAGGGCCTCCTCCTCCTGCAGCAAGTGGGCAGGGGCAAGATGGAACGTGGGAGACGGACAAGATCAACTGTGGGAAAACCACAGGAAAACACGGCTGTACAAAGACCCACAGAGTGGATCCAAGCCATGCGCTAGACCAGGAGGTTTAAGGAATGCCAACATTCAAAGCTGGGGGTGGGGTGGGGGTCGCACCTGCTTAGTGGCACCCAACTTGCGCTGCAGGTGTTCGATCTGCTCCTCTGCCTGACGAATGCGCCGCAGGGCATCCTCATCCGCGATCTTCTTGCTCTCCCTCCGATCCCTCTCCTCCAGCTCCCGGATGCGGCCCCGGAGTTCATCGACCTATAACCACCAGGAGGGAGCTCTCTCATCACTGCTTCCTGCTGATCCAGGGCTCGAGTCTGATTACTGCCCCCCCGCCCTGGGGCAGCCTTTCTGCACATCCCACGGACCCTACCTGCCCTCACCTCAGCCTTGGCCTTGCGTTCCGCTGCCATGAGCTGCACCTTATCCCGCTGTTCCTTGGGCGCAGACTTATACATGTCTAGCAGCAACTTCATCTCCTTCTGGCTTTCCTGGGCCTTCCTAGGGGAGACACAGGAGGAAAGCTGGGTGAGTAGAGCTGGAGGCCACTGGGCAGGGGTGGGAGGGAGAAAAGAACAGGGCCTCACTTGAGCTCTACTCGGAGACCTTTGAGGAGTTCTGATTCCTTCCTCTTGGCCTCTTCCACTTTGGCCTTCTCCCGATCAGCCCTTGAGAGAGCTGAGGCTACAGACGGGGGTCCCAGAACAGGCCCTTCTCGCTCCCGAAGCTCCCGCTTGGGTCTGGCCTCAGGTTCTCGGCCCCGGGAGGAGGGTCCCTGGGCCCCGGGGGTCAGGGCCTGGGTCTCTTCCTCAGAGGGCACCAGGTCTTCCTTCTTCGCTGACGAGGTAGTAATGGCAGCGCCAGGCATGGAAGCCATCTCCTTTCTGGTGTCAGGGGCACCAACAGGGCATAGCCCACCCTCTTCTTTCCCTGGGACTGAGGCACCGAGGCTGGAGTCCTCTGGGTGGCCCAGGCTGGGGATGGAGTGAGTAGAGCCACTGGCCTGGGCCCGGAGCTGCAGAGAAAGAACAGGGCTGAGGTGAGACATGCTCACTGGGGCCTAGTCACAGCCTTCCCCAGGTAGCCCGCTCCTCACCTTGGCAATCTCGGCCTGCACTTCGCGCAGTTTCCGCTTGTATCGCTGGGCGTCCCCCTTTAGCTGGTGGTTGTGGTTCTGTAGGCTGCTGATCAGGTGGCGCATCTCGCGGTTGATGGGCCCTGGAGGAGTACAGGAAACCACAGTCAGACTGGTCCCTGGGTTAGGGGCCCAGCCCCTCAGTGAGGGGAGAGGCAGGACCGTCACTCCCACTACAAGGAGAGGACAACTGAAGCCTTTATACAGAAAGTAAGCTCAGCAGATAACTGAAGAAAATTCACCCAAAAGCAATCTGATGCTGTGGGTCATTTCTGCTAATGCAGATTTCTTAAAATATTTCCAGATTTCCTTCAAAGGAACACATAACTGTAAATTCACCAAAGTAAGTTAGTCCACTTCCTTTAGCTTTTTAAACAAGTGCTACCTTCTTAGTTTCATCTCCCTGGCATTTCTCCTACCTCATCTTCCTTCCTTGCTTTACTTTTCTTGATATACTTGTCACTACCTAACATACGCGTTCAGTTTTTCCCTCCTTTGTTGTCTGTCCTCCCTTCCTGTAACACAGCTCCACAACAGCAGGGATTCTTTGTATTTTGTTCACTGGTTTAATTCCAAAGCTTAGAACTGAGCCTGGCTCAAAAGAGGTGTTCAATAAACCTTTGTAAAATGAACTAGTAGAGAAGTGCCCTAAAGGCCAGAGAATCACGGATGGGGCTGACAGCTCCTATTCTGGCAGAGTCAGCACCATCAGTCACCTCAGGCGGCTGTAAGCCTCACTGCACCTTTGAGCCATGTGGTGGGGTCCCCATTTTCCACAGGGAGATGAGGCTCTGTGAAAGGAAGGGACTTAACCTCTGGACAAGCATCTGGCCACACCAGGGCCCAGCAATCCCACAAAAGGCCCCACCTCGACCTTGTCCTCGCCACATACCCGCCTGCTCGTTGGCCGCCAGGTTCTGTTCAAACTCGATGCGCAGCATCTCGTACTCCTTGCGAACCTGGGCCAGAGTGTCCTCCAGCTGTATAACCTCGGTGCGTAGCTTCTTCTGCAGCCCCAGCTCATCACTCTGTGAGGTGAGGCATTAAGGACCCACAGAAGCCCTGGGCTCATGTTAAGCCCACCCTCAACCTCAGACCTCAGTAGCTTAGGAAGAATTTATTCCCAAGGGATCCCTGGCAGGCACCCCGGGCTCTGACACCCTTGACCCATGAACAACCTAACCCAGAGGGCCTGACCGCTACCCCTGTTCCATGGGCATACCTCCATGTGCTCAATGTGCCTCAGGTGGGAATTCTTGGTGGCCAGCAACAGCCCACGGGCCTCGTCCAGCTGGGTCTTCACTTGCAGAGACTCATTGTAGAGCAGTGAGAACTGTGCCTGCAGCATCCGGTACTCCCCTGTCTCCCGGACCACCTCCTCGGGAAGGCTCCGCAATGCTACCTAGGGGCAGGGTATCTGAACTCACTCAGCAAAAGGAAGGAGAGCTCAGGGAGAGCCCACCCTGCAGGCTAAGGCCTTCCCAGCCCCAAACACAACTCACCTTGAGGCGCTCATTGGTCCGCACGGCCCCCTGAAGTTCGGCCTGCAGCTTCTCCAACTCTGCCATGCGGCTATTGGCCAATTCCTGATTTTCCTCCAACTCTGCATTCAGCATTTCAAACTGTGGAGTGGGGAGGTCAGTGGGAGGCAGGGCCAGGGCATGAGGCATCCGTCCCTCACAGCCCCACCATATGCTCTGCCCAAGCTCCCCTATGTGGAGCAGTAATGGATTCTGAAGGCCCAGGGACAAGCCAGACCCAGGCACTTTCCTAAGTGTTCCGAGTCAAGTAGGAGAAAATGTAATATTGCAAGGTCAGTGCTGGGAACCAAGGCTTGTATCTGACAGGGGGTCAGGGAAGCCTTCCTGGAAGACCTGAAAAACCAGCTGAGGAAACGAGAACAGGCAACAATGACTCTATAGCACCAAAAAAGAGAAGGAAAAAGTTCAGTGACCAAGAAGTGAGAGAGCAAAAGCAGGACAGGGAATGGGACAGTTGCAGCAAGGCCCACAACATGAATGCCAAATGACTCCAACACAACCAACACCTCTTTCCTCAGTGGTACTTTTAATCCCTTGGACAGCAAGGATATTCAACCAGTCCATCCTAAAGGAAATCAGTCCTGAATATTCATTGGAAGGACTGATGCTGAAGCTCCAATACTCTGGCCACCTGATGTGAAGAACTGACTCATTTGAAAAGACTCTGATGCTGGGAAAGACTGAAGGTGAGAGGAGAAGGGGACGACAGAGGATGAGATGGCTGGATGGCATCACCGACTCAACAGACATGAGTTTGAATAAACTCTGGGAGTTAGTGATGGACATGGGGGCCCGGCATGCTACAGTCCATGGGGTTGCAAAGAGTCGGACACGACTGAGCAATGGAACTGAACTGACTTTTAATCAACTGATATACAATTTACCTACTTCCTGTTAACTCCCCCAACTAGAACTTCTGTTCCATGATAGGTTTCTGTTTTGTTCTCCAAAATAACTGCTTTCTACAGAGTACCTAACATTCAGTATTCAGCAACTATTTACTGAATACAGATATGAAACAATCAAACAGAGAACACTGTAAGTGACAGGGAAAGACCTCCAGGACCACAGCTAACGTTTGTCCTTAATTCTACAGGGGAAGTTCAACGGTACAGAGAAAAGGTTGCGGGAGGGACCAAGAAGAATGCTGCTGCTCACCTTCTGCATGCTGAGTGTGATCTGGCCCCCCTGGAAGCCTGAAGAGCTCCCAGACACATAGTAGCCAGAATTGAGCTGTGGAGAGAAGAGATGGACATATGGGTGTGGAGAAGAGAAGTTAGGGCCAAAAGTACTCTGTTCAGGCTCCATCTGACCCAGCGCCTGAACCTCACCTGCTCTAAGGCTTCTGCCAGGTGCTTATTAAGTTTTTGCTCCCGCTTCCGCAACTTCTCAATGTCCCACTGCAGGTCCTCTACTGTCGTCTCCATCTCCAGCACTTTGGTCTCTGCAGATGTCACTTTATCCTGGAGCTCAGAGTACTGGGGACGATGAAGGGGACAGAGGCTTAGATGACAAACTTGGCTCCCCGAGATCCTTGGGTGTCCAACTAATCCAAACCCTGTCCTGGTTCCAACCCCACCCCAAAATCCCAACTCCCACCTCCAATGAGATGCGGTGGTGCTTCTCCTGTAGTTGGGTGGCCAAGTCCTGTAGCCGCCGATTCTCACGGCCCAGCTCCCGGGTACGTGCCCGAGCCACCTCACCGGGAGGCTCACTGTCCCCTGGGAAGGCAGGGCTCAGGTAAGAGCCAAGTCCAGGGCAGTGGGTCAAAGTACTAGCTCATTTTAGAGTCTGCTATGTGCCCCAGTGTGATCCACCAGCTGTCTTGCCACTTTCTCATGACACAGCCAGGAATCTTTATCCTCAGCGCACAAAGGAGGAAACCAGCTCAGAGAGGAGAGCCATCTGCCCAGAACGCCCAGGAGGGACTGACAGAACTAAGGCTGGGCCCTTGCTGCTATGCCTTGGAAGGATCAGTAACTGCCACTAAGATCTGTGAAAAGTGCTCCCAAGAGGTCTCTAGCCCCAAGGGAGGAGGACACCTCCTCCAGTATCAACAACTCCTTCCACCCATCTCTCTAGACCTCAACTCCAAAAATCAAAGCCAGATCCCCCACTGACAGTTTAACCTGAGAATATGGCTGATTTATCCCCCAGGGAACTGTGGCTGCCTCTGGGCTAGGGGCACTGAGGAGGGGATACCATGAAGAGGTAAATGGAAGTTGGGGCACGTCTGGGGTGGGAGCATAAAGAACTAACCTCGGCTGTATACTCGCTGACAGAGTTCTTCCACCCGGCGCTGCAGGCGGTCAGAGGCCTCCACGACACGGGACACAGCTGCCTTGGAGAACTCCATGCGGCCCTGCAGCTGCAGCTCCACCTCCTCACTACTGCTTGCGCCAAGGGCCACCACAAAAGCCAAGGCTGGCTCACTGAGAGGGGGCCGCAGCTGCATTGGCAGGGGTTCTGGGAGGGACGGACAGACCCTCGTGAGGACAACAGCAACAGTCACCACCACTCTGTACCAAGTTCCAGACTGAGCGCTTTAGCACTCTATAGCTTACTGAATCAACATAACCGACACCTGCAATACTGTGTTATCCCCATCTTAAAAGTGAAATAACAGAAGTTCAGGGAGGTGATGTCCCTAAGGCCAGAGAGCTACCAAATCACTTCCTAAGGGAAGCCTTCTTTGCCTTCCCCTATCTAAGTTAAAGTGCAAACACACTAACTCCCTTTCAGCAGCCCCTACTTCTTTCCTGTGGTTTTAATCACTTCCTTCCCTAATGGTTGGGGCAGTTAAGTTATCTCTTGTTATTTTTGTTTCCTCCAAATCTACAACAATGCCAAGTACACGGTCAACATTTAATACTTTTTTGAACTACAGATATCAAGATGTGAACTGCACTCTTAACCATATCACTCAGATTTCAAAGCCTGTGTTTTTACCCACTGCCCTTGCGGCCTAGATATGAAATCAATTGTCTGTTAACAGGCGGGGAATTTGGCAGCCTAATATCAAAGTCCCCTCCTCTCCAGGACCTTTCCCAGAATTTAATTAAGCTTCCCAGATCCTAGGGCTCTGGCCCTACCCCTCAGCTCCGAAGTCCCTGGCTCTGTGAGAGGGGTCTCATCACGTGTCGGCCCCTCCTGGGTCCCAGGTGCCTCTGTCCCTGAAGACAGCTCCCCCTGGCTCTCATGGTGTCGGAGAAGGGCTTCCACAGTTTCATCCAGCTGAAGGGAGAAAGCACCAAAAATGTTATGAATCCCTCAGGTGCTTCCCAGCCTGATACTCCTTTCCTAGTAGAGGGGTCTGAGGATTGGTAGTTGGATCAAGGCCAGGTCTTTGAAAGAAGAGCGGCATCCACCTGGGCCCAGTAGCGATTGACAATGAGGAGGGTGGCGTCATCTGTGGCCTGCCGCTTCTCCAGCTTCTCAATTCGTTCCCGGAGTTCGTCTTCACATGCCTGTCTCTGTTCCAGCCGCTCTGCAAGTTTCTTGTTTTTGAACTGCAGAACCTTGAGGTCCATCTCCTCCTACCAAGGAAATAAAGGGGCCAAGAAGAGGGTCAAGCAGGGCCCCAGAACCCAATCACAGAGAAAGACAAGAAAAGCAAAGGCAACGGAAGGGAGTGGGGAGCTTCCCCAGATGAACTGCCATTAGGATTTAACGAAGCTCAGACACCCACAGAGAGCGCGTCTCGGTTGTGAGGCGGGTCAAGTTCTGTTCTGCCTCTTCCTACTGAAGTCTTTGACAAGCCACACGCCCTGTGGGAACCCGTTTTCCTATCTGTAAAGGGAAGGCTGACGTCGTGTCCTCGGTTTCCTTCAACAGAGTGTTCTGTAAGGTGGATCTTGCTAAGCTTGGGGAATTGGGAGTCAAGTTCAGGACGATGTGGAGGGAAAACAAATGGGAGTTCTAGCAAGTTTTGAGGACTGAAGCAGGAATCCACGAACCGTGGAAGAGATGCCTCCCAGGCGAATGGGCTCTATAAGCGTGGTGGTGGTCTTCTCCTCGCGGCTCAACTTCTTCTCTGGGGGCCCCGAACCCCCATCCCCAGCGGCGCGTTTGTTGCCGGGCCCAGACATGGCCGCGGCAGCGAAGAGAGGAGCAGGGTCTCCCGAGGGACGTCAGGCAGGCGGAGGCTGCACTCCTGTCACCTGCAGAAGACAGAGCGCAAAGATGTGGAGCCGGCCGGAGCTCCGCAATCGCGCAACTCCCCCTCACCTACCAGAGGGTCCCCGCTCCGCCGGCCCTGAGCCCCTCACCGGCAGCAGGATCAGCCAACAGGCGCCATCTTGGACTCAACCGGACGTCACTGGCCTCCCTAGCACAGAGCGCAGGCGCCAGGGGCAGTCCCGGATGTGGCGAAATCGTCTTTATTTCCTGTTTCTATTGGTCTCGCTTTGTCCCGCCTCTCGGGTCTGTATGGGTTTCTTTCCGAACCCTCTTCTCTCCATGATTGGTCAGTAAACAGTTCCCATGGTAACCGATAACACAAGACACCGCCTGCCCCAGATTAGCAACTTTGAAAGGAGGCCATGGGGGCGGGGCTTGCATCTTATTACGCACGCGCACTCTCTTCTCACTGATAGGAGGGAGCCGTACACTTTCCCCTTGGCTCCAGGAATTCCCTTAGCAACGGTCACCGTTGAGACGAGGGAGACGCCGCCAGCGGATTGGCTGCCCCGGGCATCTCTGCAACGCAGATTGGCTGGAGCTTCGATAGGTGGCCAGGCCTTGGCAGTGGCTGCCGGAGAACCGGCTGTCCCAGAACCGAGTCAAGACAGATCGTGTGGTTACCCCCAGCACAAAAGAGCGACAAGATGATCCGCCGGAAGACCAGCCAATTCCAGGAACTAAAAATGCAGTCGGAGCTTGTACAGCACTACGAACTGCGGCGAGAACCCGAAAGAGACATCAGCTCATTGGATGAATTGGCCACGCGTATGGGAACAGGTGTGCGGACCGAATCCGGGACCGTGGCTTCGGTGGATGTCGATAACGATCCTGCAGCCAACTTGTTCCCGGTGAGGATGGGACAGTGATCCGATCATGGATGTTTAAAAAGGGCTCCCCATCTGGGGAGCTATGTTATGTTATGTTTACTAAACATAACCCGACGATATGTTTACTAAAGTTTAAGTTTCCCCGGGCTGCCTTGGTGAGGAGGCAGAGGTGTCTGACCCCGCTTGTTAATATGCTCGTGAATAGTACTTAGGAATGGCTGAAGGCCAGCCCGCCAGCATTGCTCCTAGGACAGCATCTTGAGCAGTCCTCAAGATGAGAAGGCAACCTAGCGCGTTCTTAGGCCGGTAGAGATTCGCAACGGGTCAAGAACTAGGGGCCAGAAACAACATAGCCCTGCCTTTCCCAATTCTCTTTCTCTCCGCAGCCGCCGCTGCCCCAGCCCCGGATCTGTATATGGTGAGTATGAAGAGTTTTGGGGGAAAGTTACCCTTCACACTTGTATTATTTCCTTAGGGCTTCCCAACAATCCTGTCAAACAGCACTGGTATCCCCATTTTACAGACGAGGAAACTGAGGCCCAGAGATGCAGTTACCTAAGATGACTATAAGCCAGGTCTCCTGCTGTCCCAGTACAAAGATAGAGTGTGAGAAGAAGGTAGCCAAAGACTGAGAATGTAAATGTATCATTGCCTCTATGGAGCATTGTACAAATGGGGACACCAAGGTTCACAGAGGGAAACTTGCTCAGTTAAACAGCACGGGACAGGCAGAAACCAGAACTCAAGTTTCCTAACTCTAGGTTTTATAAATGAAGAGGATTCTAAGAGTTCATTTAAGCCATACCTTCCATTTACAGAGGGAGAAAGTGAGGCCCAGAGAGGGAAGTGACCTACTTAAAGTGACAGCAACTTAGTGGAAGGGCCAAACCTCTAACTCAGGTCTCTTTGTTCCCAGTTCAGTGCACTCACCACCACAGTCATATCATCAAACTAATGCATGATAGACACCAACACATTTTCCCCTCTTTTCCTATGACAGGAAGTACCTGGACATCCATTCCATGCACAGGCTGGAGAAGACAGCCAGCACTGAGGAGATGAGGGAGTATGGTGGGGGCAGGGAGGGGTGGAGGAAGAGCTAGCTTTGGGGGACAGCTGAGGGGGAGGTGGGCTGGGAAGGCATGAGGAATGCCTGACTCCAAAGTCTGTTGTGTACTAGTGTGGAGCAGGGAAGGGATACTCTAGTTGTCACTGATTCCTTCCTCTCTCCCTCCAGGGTGCTGGCTGAGCTGTTGGGACTAGGTTCTCCTGAGAAGAGCCTGCGGGATGCCATCACCCTGGACCTCTTCTCCCATGCACTCATCTTCTGCCGCCAGCAGGGCTTCTCCCTGGAGCAGACCTCAACAGCTTGTGCCCTGCTCCAAGATCTTCACAAGGCCTGTATTGGTAAGAGGGGACTCCCTGAGGGCCTGAGTCCAGGGCAGAGGAGGAGGAGGCTGGCACAAGTGATCAGGGGAAGTAACAGCAGGATTACCACCTGGAATCTTTGTTCTGTCATCACTAACAGAAGTTATCACACACAAGTTACTTCACCTTTGAAATTCTCTATCTCCTGATGTATAATCAGGCTACCACACTAAGGTTATTAAACTGTTCCAAGAAATGTTATGTGTGTGTAAATATATGCACAGTGCTCAATAAAACAGCTCTTTATTCCTGAAACCCATTTTCTACAGAATGTTTAATGATAGCTAAATTATGTATTTCTTGCTTTACTGTCACTTCCACTGGAATATACACTTCTTAAGGGCAGGACCTTGTCTGTCTTGTTTAGTGCCTAGAACAGTGCAGAGTGGGTACTCAATATTTGTTGCCTAGATCTGTCTACTTCTAAAGCTCATGATCATTAAGTAGCTGTTGAGTGAGTAAAGTGAATGATTATCAGGGAGGAGACTCAATGTCACATCTTGCTTTCCCTCCCAGAAACCCCCTTGGGCAACGTGGAGGAATGTTACCGCTACTTCACCAGTGTTCTTTTTTGCCATGGAGTCAGGGTCAGTTTCACTCTCCCCAGCCTCCCACCCTCTCTCACACACATTACCCTTATCTTCCTCTGAAGGCCCCAGCGGGCTCTTCCTGCTCCTGGACTGCCAGGCACTTGGAGAAAAGGTGATGGTTTCGAGAGGTGGTCAGTCCTCTAACTCCCAACCATCTCCACAGCGCCCCCCTTTCAGTATTGACCTCTTTAAGGAGGAACAGCTGCTGGCCCTGGCAGATTATGTGGTGAACACCTACTTCCGCCACTTCAAGCTGTACAAATATGTCTTCACACCCCAGGTACTGGGCTAGGGGCTACAAGAGGCCGCCCCTCATCTCCCCTCTTTCCCCAGTGCAGTTGATTTCCTCCCTCTTCCCAGGTGCGGCTGGATCTCTCTTTGACTTACACGGGGCTAAAGCCACCCAACCTCTGGTCAGAGGATGAGACAGGTAAGGGAGAATGCCGGGGCGAGAGCTGGACTGCACTGGGACTGGGGCTGAAGCCTCCTCCTGCTTCTGGCTTACAGAGAAAGAAAAGGGAGGAGAGGTGGAACAGCAGGCAGTCATCGAACAGGAGGTGGAACCGGAAACAGTGATCCAGCCAGAGCCAGAGCCAAGTGAGGACCTGGAGGGGCTGGGGCTCCCTGTGACTTCAGGCAGGTGTGAAAATGAAGGGTTTAGATCATATCAGGATTTCAGATTTTTCATTTTAGTCATGGTATCCTTTCTCCAAATGATTCCTTATGGAGAATGCATGTTCCAAGATGCAACAAAATAAAAGCACAGCTGCTGGGGGTGAGGCAGGAACTCCAGAAAAGGATTATAAAACCAACGATAGTAACAGCCAGCACACATCTGGCAATACTATGTGCTAGGCAGGCCTTGTTTTAAGCATTATATATATATATATATATACTGCCTGTGCCAAGTGGCCTGTGGAATCTTAATTCCCCAATCAGGAATTGAACCTGTGGCCCAAGTGGAAGCATGGAGTCCTAATCACTGGACCACCAAGAAATTCCTGCATTTTACACATATTAACCCATTTAATCCTCTCTCAATCCTAGTTGCTAGATGTTATCACTGGATTTTACACAGAAGGAAACTGAGGCACAAAAATGTTCAATCACCTGCCTGAGGTCACACAGCTGCTAAAGGAGCAATTGGGAAATGCAGCATACATAAACCCTCTGCCCATCTTTCTCTTCTAGAAGGGCTGGCTAACATTTCCTGAATTGAAGAAACACTGCCACCTGGGTCACTCCTGGGGTAGTCCCCCTTGAAGGTCCTGCCTGCCTGGCTAGGGGGCGGTCCCTCAGCCCCACGGCCTCTCCCCTAACCCGCCCCCTTTTCCCCACCACTGCAGGCCAGGTCTCCATCCTCCGAGCCTACATCAAGACCCAGATGAACAAGGAGCTGCGGCAGCTCCAACAACTGGTGGAGGAGCGGCTCAAAGCCAGTGAGGAAAGGCTCAGCAGCAAGCTGACCACCCTGGAGCGGCCCCTCCAGCTATCTCCAGGCAAAGGCAAGAACAAGATCCAGTGACTCCCTGCGTTTTTCCCAATAAAGGCCTGGGCCAAAGTGGCCCCACCACGCCCTGCCCCACCCCCTCCTGAGCACCTTCTGAGCTTCTCTGCTGAAGCCAGACACCAGACACAGGGGACTGGCTCTCTCTGGTGTGTAGCAGGTTTTATTGCATACGTGGTGCAGGCAGAACAGATAAGGCCAGGCGTGGCACCCTGGGTGGCTCTCTTCCACCCCAGCTCTGATCTCAAAGCCCTGGCCAGCGGGGGTAGGTGTACCACACTGGTCTCTATGATAGTATGATTGGTGGTGGGCCTGGTCAATGGTGGCCTGTGGCCAGAGCCCAGAGGGGCTGAAATGATAAAGATCATTCTCCTGAAGAGTTCTGCATCCTCCGGGATGATGTGCTAGCCCAGCACTAGCATGGCCTCATCCTCAGCGATAGTAGCCGAGTCCCCCTCCTCTTCAGGGCCCATCATGGGAAAAGGCCCCGGGGGCCGGTGCTGGAAGAGGGCTGCCCGGTTCTGCTGCTCACCCTTCTTCACCCAGTGTCCGTAGAGCCGGAAGGCACAGTTGTCGATAAGGCGCCGCACTGGCCGCAGCGCGTAAGGGTCCCTCAACAGCGCACTCTTGGTCAGTGGCCGGACACGGTGGGCGCTTAAGGCCACCCGTCCAGCAGCCAGCACGGTCCACACTGCCACCTAGGAAGGGGGTGGTGTGAGCTCCACTGGCACAGTCACCATAAGAAAAATCCTGAGAAGAGGAGCAGGACTAGACCCTGACACGCTCAGGCCTACCCGAAACCGCTGGCGGGGGGTGAGGTTCCAGGCTTGGCTGCCTTCACAGCGCTCAAAGAATGGGTGCTGTAGGGCTTGCTCAGCTGTCAGGCGCTCCACAGGATCCACCTGCAGCAGCCTGGAGATCTAGGGGAAACCCCAGAGCATGAGAAGCAGCTCTTGGGCCTCTCTCCTCGCCCACTCGCAGCCCCAGCTCACCAGGTCTTTCACAGTGTCGGAACGGTCGTCCCACTCAGGTGAACTAAACTGGTACTGGCCCTCCATGATCATACGTAACATCAGGATCTGGCGTCGGTGCCAGAATGGTGGGGAGCCCGCCAGGAGTGTGAACAAGATCACCCCGCAGGCCCAGCTGGGAAAGAGGAGTAGGGAAGGGGGGACCAGGTGATAAGCAAAGGTGTTGAAGACAGAACAGTACAAAAGGAGGAAGGAAGGCGGGGGGTGACGGGAAACTCACAGATCGACCTCCTTGCCGTAGCCTGGGTGAGTTTCATCCATGGAGCACTTAAGGATCTCCGGTGCTAGATACCCTGGAGTCCCACACAACTCTGGGGAGAGAGGCCTGAAATGGATGGGGTGTCACCAGCCCCCTCAAGGACCCTTCACACCAGACCTCTGCTGGAGCCTCACCACCACCAGGGCCACAAGTGTTCCCATCCTGCACCTGCCAGCCTTCTGCCAAGTCCAGTGTTAGAGCCTCGCTCTGGTGAGCAAGTACCTACCAAGGCTCCTGGTGGCCTTCCTGGGAAAACCTGATGTTTAGGTTGACTTCAGAGCACTATCCAACTGTATCATTTGCCTCCTCCACCAACCCTCACCTCACACAACTTATTACCATGTTTTATATACATACACACATAAAAAACAGAAATTAAATCTTCTCTGCATTCCTTTCTGCCCAAATCTAATCCTCCTCCTAGAATCTCTACTTCGGTTGGTGGAACCACCACTCAACCCAGGGGAGTGTGTAGGAATATAGGATTTCTTAAGGCATATTCTGGGTATGTCCTTTGTTGAAAACCCTTCCCTGGCTTTCCATCATGGCCTCAGGGTCAAGTCTAGATTCCGAAAGCACAAAGGCTTCCATGACTTGATCAAAGCCTGTATTTTTACTTTTTTCTACCATTTCTGGCACCAGTTCTTCCACTCTAGCAGTTGCACACTGTGATCCATGGCACACTTCCAAGAGGTCTTAAGAGGCCTGAACTGAGAAGCTGACTTTCTAGGCAAATTCCTTCCTAGACAAACTATTTACTGAACACCTACTGTGTGCCAAGCACCATACTAGACACAATGGCAAATTCAACGTGCCCTTAGCAAGCTCACCATCTACCAGGAAGCACATAAACAGCGTAAGACATGTATCATGAAGTGGGGGAGATCTAAGAGCAAAAAGCAGCGGTTCTACCCTGACCTGGAGCTTCCAAGTAAAAACTGAATTACCCAAGTCAAGGGTGACGGTGGAGTGGGCAGGGGCAAAAATGATTCAGAATGGAGAAGCGTATGTGGGAGCCCAAAGGGAGAAAAATCCCTGCATGTGGAAGATGTGTAAGTCCACAGAGTAAGAGCATGAGCTCTGGAGTCATACTGCCCAAGTTCAAATCACACATTACCTTGGGCAAGTCACTTCACCTCATTAAGCCCATTTATAAAATAGAGACACAGATACTATTTCAGAGTTGTTAAGAGGATCTAGAGAAACAAGCCATATAAAGACTCCATGTGCTGCCTGACTCAGAGCAAGTGCCCAGTGAAGGTGGTGGTGGTTCAGTTGTTTGCTCAGTCAAGTCCGACTCTGTGATCCCATGGACTGAAGCACACCAGGCTTCCCCGTCCTTCACAATCTCCCAGAGTTTGCTCAAACTCATGACCATTAACCAGTGAAGGTAAGCTGTTAAGAAACCCAGGGAAGAGCCACGGAAGGAGAGGAAGTGGCCTATTAAAGGCTCTGGGGAGTCCCGCAGTTGAACTTTGTCTAGTTTGCCACTTGCATTAGAAATGGTTGTCACAACAAACGTGTTAACGTGAGGGGACCCCGAGTCCCCAGGCATCAAGTGAGCAGTGCTGTCAGGCCACATCAGACTCCTCAAGGCACTTGAGCAGGACACCGTGGCCCTGCCTCTGCCAGACCTCAAAGGTGCAGCTGAGCCCTTCTGTCACTGCGTGTGTGCTAAGTCACTTCAGTCATGTCCCACTCTTTGCAACCCTATGGACTGCAGCCCACCAGGCTCCTCTGTCCATGGATTCTCCAGGCAAGAATACTGGAGTAGGTTGCCATGCCTTCCTCCAGGGGATCTTTCCGACCCAGGGATCGAACTCATGCCTCCTGCATTGGCAGGTGGGTTCTTCAGCACTAGAGTCACCTGGGAAGCCCTGCTGTCCCTTGCTCCCTCTCTTTTTCTTCCTATGACAAGCCCGGCCTCCCCAGGCCCAGGTCCAAGCCCCTTCCTCTGGGGGCCCTACATCTGAATCAGTGTTCCTTCCTTCTGGCTCTCCGGCGTAGCTCCCTGCCTGCTGTGTGCCAAGATCTGTTCACTCCATCTTCCCCAGGGCAGGGAGCCCACTTCCATTTGCACACTAGGCTTTGCACCCAACGGGTAGCTGGCAAGCGCTAACATTCCATGGGACCCAGTTCTCAGACCCAGCCAACTAGTCCCAAGCCTGAGCCTCCATCCCTCCCAAGCCCCTCAGAGCACCAGGTCCCCTCACCTCGAAGCTTCTCGCCAGGTTCCAGGTGGCAGGAGAACCCAAAATCTGAAAGTCGGATCTGCATATCATCATCTAGGAGAATATTCTCGGGCTTCAGGTCTCGGTGTACAATGTTGTTGTTGTGGAGAAAACTCACTGCTTCCAGCAGAGACCTCATGATGGACCTGGGGGAGGCGCAGTCTCCTCTGCTTCTCCCTGCCCCGCCCCACCCTCTGCTCATCCCAGGGGCTGCAGGCTCAGCCATTACCTGGTTTCTTTTTCTGAGAGGGCCACCTTCTCTGTGAGATAGTCAAACAGCTCTCCCTTCCGCATCCTAAGGGACAGGAGGGGTTGGGAGATGGGTGCACCTCACAGTGGAGGCTGAGAAAATAAGTCAGTGCTCACAACAAATACCACGGAAGAGGTCAGTCAAGGAAGATCCCTCTATAAGCAAATGAAAGGGTCTCGAGACAAAGCCCTCCAAGAGTGAACCAGATGTCAGGGGCAGTTTGGTCCAGTGTCCCGGTGGTCATAATCTCTGCACTGTGGGATGTCCCTGGCAGTTCAGCGGTTCAGACACTGTGCTTCCAGTGCAACAGCTGCAGGTCTGATCCCTGGTCAGGGAACCAAAATCCCACAAGCTGCATAGTGTGGCCACATTAAAAAAAAAAACCTGCACTGTGCCACAAGTGGGCTATTTTGGCAAGAATAAATTATCATTTACAGGAAATCCCTGTTATCTGACAATATATTAAAAAAAAAAAGCCTTTTGAAGTGAACCTGTTTAGACCATGGACCAAAATTTCACAGTTAATAAATAGTAGCAAGAAAGTTGAATAGGACTTGACTTTGAATTTTGCTTACTTTATGTTCTCTTTAAAAACTGAGGTTATAATTGCAACTCTGTATCAATCCTTGAAATAAAGAATACATCAGGTTCTGCAACAGTGTTGCGTGGTGAAGCAGGCACTTCCTACTTGCTCTCCACTTTTGCAGAGGTCATTTCCCTCTGAAGACTTTGTAAATTTCTCCCAAGTGCCTCTCTTAAACATCTGGTATGCAAACCACTCTTGAATTTCCTTTGTAACTGGTTTGCATTATAGCACCACATAATATCTGACATTCAGATTCAGACCAACCAGAAAAAGAATCAATGGGCAGAGAGATTCCAGTGGAGGGTGTTAAACACAAAGACAGGTGAGGGAAAAGTCTGTTTATAAGTGGTCAGCTCAGGAATGAACACCTTCCTCTTAAAACAGAGTCTCATGAAGACCCTTTATATTTAGCTGGTCACTAAGACTCTTGAAGAACTTGCCTCAATCAGGGCACCTAGGAAAAAGGGCCCGCGCCCTGGGCTGGCAGGTCTGAGCTGGAGCAGAGGAAGGTGTGAGCAGGGTGGTCTTCAGCCCACTGCGCTGTAAGGCTGGGGAAGTGCAAGGAGAGGAAGAGGCTTTTCGGTCAGGGAGGGGGTATACTCACAGGTCAAACACCAGGAACATGAAGCTAGAAGACTCGTAGGAATCGATGAGAGTGACTGGGGAAAGAGGCAGAGAGGCAGAGAGACAGAGATGGAAAGGAGCAGATGCACACCAGAGGGCCTTTTCCACCCTGAGGCAGCAGGGGGCTGTTCCTGGGAAGGAAGGAGAACCAGAGGAGGCAGGAGGGGCTCCACCCTGAGGCAGCAGGGGGCTGTTCCTGGGAAGGAAGGAGAACCAGAGGAGGCAGGAGGGGCCCAAAGGCTGGCCACACTTTGAGGAGGTGCAGCGGAGCCAGGAGGAAGGGAGCAGAGCGTGGAGGCAGTGCTGGGGCAGGTGGGTGGTGGGCTGGGCTAACAGGAGTGGGGAAAGCAGCCTCACTGATGTGGGGGTGGCCGGCGACCTGACGAAGGATGTGCGTCTCCCGCCGCGTGGCCTCCCGCACCTCCTCCAGCTGCTCAGGACTCAACCGCTCAGCTGTCACCTCCATGATCTTCACCGCAAACTCCTGGCCAGTAGCACGATGAACGCAGCGGCGGACCACAGAGCTCACTCCTCTGCCAGAGTCGGATAATGCAGGAGTCAGGGCCTCCTGCCCTCTTGTTTCCACGCAGAGTGGAGCGTCGGCAGCCTCACATCCTCTGAGCCAGACTCCAGAGACCCAGCTAGACAAGGTGACTTCCTGAGGAGCTCACCTTGACATACGGGAGCTCCATAGCAGCCTCAGTCAGAGACCTGGGCACCCAGCAAGGAGCGACATAGAGCTCACAGGGCGAGGGGCAGGGGTCCCGGATTCCAGGCTCTGCCACTCCCCCTGGAGGTGAGCCCAGACACCGAGCCCCCAAACCTGCCCTATGCCCCTGAACCCAAGAAGAAGGCAGGAAGAAGTGACCCAAGACCCCCTTCAGATTTTACCCACTTCCATGGTTACCCCATCTAAATCCCAAAGTTCCCCTACAATACCTCAGGTGAAATAAACATTGGGCCATTGACTGGAAGACCAAAGTTGAGAAGCAGATCTTGGGTTTAGGCCCCAAATTTGCCACTGATGAACCTCTAAGTGACCCCCTGACATAAGGTCTCTGGGCTCCCACTTCATCGGCTCTGAAATGTAGCCAACAACATCCTGAAGGGATGCTGAAAGGCATTAATGAAGTACAGACAGGAAAGCCCATTTGGCTTTGTAAAGACAAAGCCCCTAGGAGACTTTCTTGGTGGTCCAGTGGTTAAGAATCCACCTACTACAGCTGGGGACACAGGTTCGATCCCTGCTCTGAGAAGACCCCTCATGCCTTGGGGCAACTAAGCCCAGGTGCCACAACTACTGAGCCCATGGTCCAGAGGCTGTGCTCTCCACAAAAGAAAGTCTGGGTGCAGCAATGAAGACCCAGTGCAGTCAAAAAAAATTCCTAGGGAATTCAACGGTGGTTCAGTGGTTAGGACTCCACACTTCCACTGCAGGGGACTCAGGTTCCATCCCTGGTCAGGGTACTAAGATCCTGGAAACCGGATAGTACAACCAAAAGAAAAGAAAAGAGACAAAGTCCTAGACAGGCATTTCCTGGCTTGGGCTCTGTCACCAACTCTGTAAGACCCTATAAGTACTTCAGGCTAAGGTGCAAATCTCTCCAGAATCTGTCCTCATACCACATTTCACATGCTGGTTCCCTGGCTGCCCTTCACATAACGTCATTTCTGTGTTCCCAGAGCCACCTTGCATTTATGGAACTCTTGCTTGAAATGCCTCTCAGCTACCTCTCTGCTTCAATCAGTGGATACAAACTATTGGTCCTCAAGCCTAACACAGATACATTACACTGGGGCAAGGGCACTGTTCTCTACAAATCTGAATTCACATCTCTTAGGTGGCTGAGAACCCGGCAGCTGCCACAAGGCTCAACCACTTTCTACTCTTTTACTCTCGGCCACTTCACAGTTTTAATTTCCTGCCCAAACACTAAGGACATTGGAGTTTCATGTCCTTGGTCTAGTTATTACTCATCTTTCAGTGAACCTCTGAGAATTTGTGAAAAGCTGCAGACCTCTGCCACACATACCCAACATTTTTATAATTTCAGGGGGTGGGTCAAAGATCCTCTGAAGCCATTCATCGAAGAATCCCTGCTTTAAGACCCAAAGTAAATTGAGATGTCAACCAATTCTTTGTTTATTCTCCAGAAGAAGGGACCACTCCCTTCTCTGGTATCCTACAGTACTTTACCTGTAGGAGCATTCCCTTTTAATTAAGCCTTCCTATATATGTCATGACTACCAACTTGGAAAACCTGAGTCTTTGGACTCAATCTCCAAACTCTTCCTACTGATACAGCCTAGTACCTTGTTCTCTGAAAGTGAAAGTGTTAGTCACTTAGTCATGTTCAACTCCTTGCAACCCTATGGACTGCAGCCTGCCAGGCTCCTGTCCATGGAATTCTCCAGGCAAGAATACTGGTGTGGGTAGCTACTTCCTTCTCCAGAGGGTCTTCCTGACTCAGGGATTGAACCTGTGTCTCCTGCATTACAGGCAGATTCCTTACCATCTGAGCCACCAGGGAAGCCCTGCCCACCCCTTAAATGTAAAGACTTTCCCAAGATCCCATCCTTGGCCCTCCTGTTCTCAGGCTACATACACTCTCAGTAACCTTATCCACTTCCATGACTTCAACATTCATGCCCAAATGCTACCCTCCCCCCCTTTTCTTTGGCTACATCACACAGCTTGTGAGATCTCAGTTTCTCAACCAGGGATTGAACCTGGGCCATGGCAGTAAAAGTCCAGAATCGTAACCACTAGACCACCAAGGAACCTCCCCCAACCCCTGCCCCTATGTCTCCCTAAATCAAGCCAACATGTCTTACTGAATGAATTGCTTCTCGAGGTCCTAGAGACATCCTTCTATCATCATGACCTTGTGAGTATAGTCTTAACCACTGAACCCCCAGATGGGTAGTCCCTCTTTCAACTTGTCCCACTCTTAACACACTCTGGCCACTATAATCTTCTATTGCTTTAATTGGTTCTTTGCTGCACTGAGCCTTTGCACTACCCTTCCCTCTGCCTGGAATATATCCTGCCTCAGTGTATCATCTGTTCATTCTCATCCTTCAAGTCTCAGCTCCATTAATTACTCTTGTTCTATCACCTTATTTATTTTCTCCCTAGCACTTACACTGAAATTGTTTTCATGTTTATTGTCTCTCTCCACCACTCAAATATAAACTCCAGGAGAACAGAAATTTTATAACATGCAGGATGTGGGTCTCACATCTCCAGTGCACCCAGCACACTGTGCATGCTTTGGAAGCCCTGATGAATAAACATATTAGTCACTGCCCCTACAAGTGAAGCTTTCCTTCTATATGATGCCTGCTGAACTCCTGTTCATCCTTCAAGACCCAAATATCACTCCTTCTGGGAAGCTGTGGTTTTCTGAGACCCAATAGCACTTTTTACACAGCCTGATGCTACTTGAATGTTCCTGTGTCTCTTTCAGTCACTTTACTTGGAGTAGCTCCAGTGCATAAATAGTCCATGGGGTCACAAAAAGTCGGACAGGACTAAGCGACTTTCAGTTTCACTTTCCAGGACACAAACATCTCTTCTAACCTCCCCATGTTTACCTTTGTGTCTGGCAAACAGTAGGCGCTTGAATTATGTTTGTTGAACACATACATGAATGAACTGGTGAAAAAATAGGGGCTGACTCAGAAAAAGAGTCTAGTCACCAAATGTTTCTCCACTCACCACTGAACCTTCCCATTTAGAACTTTCCAGGGAAATGTGTTGGAGAAAGAAACGGCAACCCACTCCAGTATTCTTGCCTGGAGAATCCCATGGACAGAGGAGCCTGGCAGGCTATAGTCCATGGGGTCACAAGAGTCGGACACGACTTAGTGACTAAAGCAAGCAAGCAAGAAGGGAAATGTGTATCCTGGCTAGGACCTGACCTTTCTGGACCTCTGTTTCCCTAGCTGTGGCCTTACCTGCCAATGACGTCCTTAGGGTCGTACTTCTGGTAAAATTCTTTGGCCGCAGCCCAGTCGGGCAGCTCATCCTCGGGGCCCACGTCCAACGTCATTCTGAAAGAGGTGGGGGCCTGTGAGGAGGAAACGGAGGGCAGTGAGGGCAGGGAGGCCCACAGGCTCTGAGAGGACGCACATCGCGACTCGCGGAGGCGCAGCCCTTGTGGCTGGGGAGCCAGGATCCTGGGGGATGGGGACGGGGTGGGGGAAGGATCGGGACTGGGGAGACCCCAGGAAAGGGCCTTAGGGATTGGGATGGGGTGGCAAGGCAGGGAGGGGGGCGGGGGAGGGGAAGGGAAAAGGTACAGAGGAAGAGGGGAAGGGGCACCCGGACGGGCGGCTGTTGCTGGGCAGGCGCACTTGGGCGGGCTCTGGGAGGGGGCGCAGGGTCTCGCGCGGGCTCACCAGCGGGGGCGGAGAGAGAAGCCAGAGTTGATCAGAGGCTGCCCTGTCGCGAGGTTCGCCCCTAGCCTCTTACCTTACCCACAGGCTGCGCCGGCGAAGACCTCAGGCCCCGCCCCCATTCTGTTCGCCAATGGCCAGAGTCACCCAAAGACTGACGTTCAAAAATCCTTCGGATTGGAAACTGGTAGTCCAATAGGAAGCCGAGAGTCCCGAGGCTGGCCCGGGAGTTCGAGCTCTGAGTTCCCTAAGGCTCCGACGCTAGGGCGGGGCTTCATATACGGCCAATCAGGGCACGGTATCTGCTGGGACTAGCAGAGGGCGGAGCTTGTTCAGCAACAGGGCTAGAGGCCTGAAAACAGACCCGGAAATTAGGTTTACCGTTAAGTGTCACCTCCTGGTACCTGATACGCTGGCCTCCTTGGCCTTCCGATTCCCACCCGGACTTGGGCATGGTCTCCTCAGTCGCTCAAAATCACTGTCTGAATTTGGGTGTTAATAATGTTAGCAGCCTGGTCCAAAGCGCCTGCTTTGAGGGGCTGATTCAACCCCTTAAAATGTTAGGCGCACGCAGCTTGATGCTGAACTTGTCTACTTGTATGAGCCACGGCCTTTCAGCCAGAAGAGGCTTTCTCATCCTTTGGATGCTCTGACTCGGGATACCTCCAAATCCCTTGCTGTTCAGGGTCTCAGGCGAGTCCGACCCTTTGCGATCCCATGGACTGCAGCACACCAGGCTTCCCTGTCTTTCACCATCTCCCCGAGTTTGCTCAAACTCATCTCTTCAGTTGGTGATTCCGAAACCCTAGTGCTATCTGGAAGACCATTTTTTCCGGTTTCCCACCACCCCCGCCCCAAAGCCTTGAGGAATATCACCCTTTTAAAAAGTATTTTTTTTTATTTGGCTGCGCTAGATCCTAGTTGTGGCACGTCAGATCCTTGGTCTTTGCAGCATGCAAGAGCTTTGTTCTGGGGCATGTGGGATCTAGTTACCTGACCAGGGATTGCATTTGAGCACACTGCATTGGGAGTATGAAGCCTTAGCCACTGGATCACCAAGGAAATCCCTCGCTCTCTGTTCTAAGCTTACCAGGTTATCACTCTGCCAGGAGCGACTTGCTCCATAAGTTTTCTTAGTGCAGCTCAACCCTGACATTCACTTACTCATTCAACAAATATTTGTTGAGCATCTAAGCATTAGACTAACAGCAACAGAAAAAAATTCGGTCCCTACTCTTGTGGAGGTTATACTCCAGATAGAGGCAGAGAATTCATTCATTTTTTAACAGCTATCTTATTAAGAGAAATATAACTTTCGGATTGCGACCAAGTGAAGAGAAAAACGAATCCAAGTAACTTTTTAATGGAGTACTTTGACCGTATACCATTTATCTAAAGACAGAATAACTCAAAGAAATCTTGTATTTTACTTGGTAGATTTGTTTGGTAGTATAATGGGACAATTATTTTGAAATTGAGCAAGTGAATAAACACATTGATGTAGTTGGCAGTCTAGGTTCTTACTGTGGGAATATTTGGAATGGGGAGAGAACCTTATGACTGAAATTGGAGGTATGATTTTAAGAATGATTTAAGATAGATAACATTAGCTATTTTCTAGCTCTAATCTGTGAAAGGGCCAAGGACAAATAGAGCCTGTCCAGTAGAGTGAGCACAGCTAGTGCCTAAATATTGATTGCAAAGCAACAGTCCTCAATAAAAGGAACCAGGGCTCCTTGGGAGAAATGGCCAATTCCCAGGCTAGAGCAGAGAAAGTACAAGATGAGCCTGGAATAATTTGTACCAGAAAGTAAATGAAGAAAGATGGGAACTTAAACACAAGAACCAGGTTGAAATCAGGGACAAAAAGGATAATGACACTGAGAGAGCTATGAGGGAGCCTTCTCATGTGCTAGAAATGTTCTATTCACCTGATTACACAGGCGTGTTCACGTAAAAACATTCACCTAGTGCTCGCTTTGGCAGCACATATACTAAAATTGGAATGATACAGAGATTAGCATGGACCCTGCACAAGGATGACACACAAATTTGTTAAGCGTTATATTTTTAACAACAAAATTCTGTAAAGCAATTATCCTTCAAGAAAAAAAAAAGAAAAAAAAAACATTCACCTATTGGCACAGTAAGATCTGTGTACTGTAAGTAAATCATGCCATTATACCTCAACAAAACTATTTAAAAAGGTTAATGGCAGTAATGGGTATAATAAAGTGAATTTATTTACTTTTTTAAATTTGCCAGCATGTCAAAAAGAACCTTTATTCTGATTTGAATAGCCTCTATGCACTCATGCTTTCTTGCCAGATGCCTTTGGAGCAGGTGCTTTCTGGGATGGAGCTAAAAATATGGAACGCTTCACGAATTTGCATGTCATCCTTGCGCAGGGGCCATGCTAATCTTCTCTGTATCGTTCCAATTTTAGTATATGTGCTGCCGAAGCGAGCACTAAAGTGAATTTAAAAACAAATCTGAGGCCATACTGACACTAAAAATTATAAATAAATAAATGAAGGAGAAAAAAACCCTTATAATAGAATGCCAACTAATAAATGTAGAAAGAATGACAAAGTTAAACATCAACATAAGCCTTGTAATAACTGATTGGGCAAAACAGGCATTAAAGTTATTGGGGAAAATTTGGTGAGGTATTTAAACAGATAACTTTTTAACTACAAAGAAAAAAAATTATCTTTACCTTGTAGAAATCTGACATTACCTTAGAACCAAGTTGTCAGTGTTACATCTGACATAAAAGGGCAAACTGACACATGTCTCTTGATGTGATGTATTCAAGGCATACAACTTATGTAATATGTCAGCCAAAAATGCATAAGTCTGAATTCAATCACAAGAACCCAAATTAAGAGACATTCTACACACTGGCCCCACCTCAAAAATGAATGAAAAACAAAGAAAGAAAGGATGAGAACCTACTAAAAATTGAATGCTGAAGAGCTGACAAACTAAATGCAATCCTTGTTCCACACTGAACTCTAAAGTAGAAATTGCTATAAAGTATGTTACTGGGACATCTGGCAAGTCTGAATATAGACTATTAGAAGATAATATTGTACTGATGTTAAACTTCTCGGAATTAAATCTAATTGCACTATAGTTATGTGAGAAAATATGTTCTTAGGAGATACAGATCACAAGGTATTTCCCTCAAATAGCTCAGCAATAACAATTATGAGTATTTAGAAAGAGGTTTCCCAGGTGGCTCATGGGTAAAGAATCTGCCTGCAGTGCAAGAGATGCACATTCAGTTTCTGGGTCAGGAAGATCCCTTGGAGGAGGAAATGGCAACCCACTCCAGTATTCTTGCAAGGGGAATCCGCATGGACAGAAGAACCTGTGTCCATGAGGTCATGAGAGTTGGACACGACTTAGTGACTGAACAAGAAATTTAGAAAGATACAAAGCAAATGTGGTTGAGTTGTTAAAAAATATACATCTAGGTTAAGGCTACACAAGAGTTCATTGTACTATTCTTTTATTGTTCTATAGACTTGAATTTTTTTCAAAATAAAGAGATTAAAAAGTAGCAAGATCTCATGTAATCAGTTTGGGGGGGATGGCATACTCCAGTAAACGGAAGCTGCTGATTAATCAAACACTAGATTTAATTTTTTTGGTGTGAAAAATCTCCTAGAGTTCTCCTGATGCCCAGGCAGTGCCTCACATGAATTAAATCAGAATCTCAGGACTGGCCGGGGCGGGGGGAGCAGGTGGTAAAGCTCAGGAATAAGTTACTTTTTAAGGCTGTCCAGATTACATTTTGAAGTCAAGGTTCAGAACCACTGCTGTCTATATAGCTTCTACCCATTGTTACAGTTCTAATCTTTGGACAATGGAGTTCCTTCACTTTTCTTTCCTGAAACACTTTGGAACACTGAAAAACACAATCATGTGCCCCTCTCTCCCCCTTAATCTTCAATGTACAACATCGATAATTCCTTTAGGTACTCTGCTGGTCTCTATTGGTGAAATAAATTCCATTCCCAGGGTATATGTACTTCAAAAGATGTATAAGACTGTCTATAGCAGCATGATTCATAATATCCTAAAATGGGAAATGTTCTGAAAGTTCACTAACAGAAAATGTGTTAATTGTAATATAGTCATATAATGGAATGTGTGTGTTAGTTGCTGTCATGTCCAACTCCATGCGATCCCATAGACTGTAGCCCACCAGGCTCCTCTCTGTCCATGGAAGTCTCCAGAACACTGGAGTGGGTTGCCATTCCCTTTTCCAGGGGATCTTCCTGACCCAGGGATTGAACCTGGGTCTCCTGCATTGCAGAAGGACTCTTTACCACTGAGCTACCAGGGAGTCATATAATGGAATACTATAGAGTAATAAAAACTACAGTTACACCAAATATTGATGAATCTCAGAAGCAGTGTTAAGTAAAAGAAGCAAGACATAAAAAGAATACATTTGATTTCATTTATATCATATTCAAATGCAGGCAAAAGCAAATGACATTGTTAGAAGTCAGAATACCTGTGGATAACAAATACAAAGTTACCTGTGGAAAGAAAGGAAGGCAGAGTGATGGGAGGGGTAGAAAGGAGGCTTTGGAGTGCTGACAAAGTTTAATTTCTTGACTGAATAGTGGTTTTTTCAGATGTTTTGTGTTAACTTATGAAGTTGTATATTTGTTTTCGATCTTTTCCTTTATGTACCTCACAATTTTAAAAATGTTTAAAATATTATCATGAGACCCAAGATGAAGGATATGGAAATTCATTATAATCATACAGGTCTCCACATACTGGGTGGTGGTTGCTATTACCCAATCCTTTCACTCCTCTCTCAGCTCTGGAACTAAACTGTCTAGGTTGAATTCCAATTATGCCACTTACTAGCTGTGTGACCTTGGAAAATCCGTGCCTTTTTCCTCAACTATAAAATAAGAACAACAGTACCTACCACTGAGTGATTTTGAGGTATGAAGAAGAAACATAAAATGCTTAGAACACAGCCTGGAATATAGTCAGCACTTGATAAACAGCAGCTGCTGCTACGACTCTTGCTTTCTGGCCTCACAGTCTGTTGATAGGTAAGAGAGAAGTGTGGGGCTTTCCAAGAAGGGAGACTTATAGAAGAAGGAAAAAGTCAGGGGAGGAGGGAGGATCCTTTCCTCCTCTTGAAACTCCTAGGTAAGGGGAGATGCAGGCTTCCGCCATGATCACATGTTCAGTCTGGCTCTCACCAAGGGCCCAGGGAAAAGCAGGGGAACAACAATTAGACAGCAACATTTCACCACTAAAAAGATTTTTATTACAAAACAAATACTAATAAAATCAGGCCTGGTCTTCGACCTCCCCTCCTAGAGGCCCCTAGGATGGAGTAGATTGGGGGGAATAGGGGTTGGTGAGCACTGAAAGAATAGAGCAGGCTGACCTCCCCTCATCAGTCTCAGCTGCTGCCTTTTAGAAAAGGCTAAAGAGCTCTTCCAAAGCCCTTTGAGAGAGGCACCATCCTTCCAGCCCGGAAGTAACCATTGTTGGCACCAGACCCTCACAATACTGCATTGGAGGATCCAGGATGTCTCAGCTGACTCTCAGCAAAGGCCACCCAGAGTCACTCAGCCTGCGCGATGGCGTAGGAGACCAGCCATAGAAGCAGGGGGCCCAGAACGAGGACAGTGAGCCAGACGGCAAAGCTGGCCAGGATGAACCTCCGGGCCCGGGCCCCCCAGTGCACTGCCTCCTCCAACCGGCCTGCCTTATGCCGCTCTTCCGCCTGTGGGGGCAGGTTTTTGGTTAGGTTCTCCCCCCAAAATGCCCATTGCCCCACTCCAATCCTACATCCTCATTATGGCCCAGAATCTCACACCCATACACTCCACCTCCCTTTCCAGTTTCTTTCCCTCATGTCTCAGCTGCAAAGTAAGTTACCCAACTTTGCTCTGCCTCCTTTTCAGGATGGCTGTTGTTAGCTCAGATCACATACGGGAAAGTACTTTTTAATCATTTTATTCCTCATCCTTTTCTACTCATCTCAGTTTCATTCAGAACTTAGAATTCTTGGCAAGAAACAGTGAGCAATCTTACGAGTATTTCACTCATGTCCAATCAAGCACTCCATTCTCATTAGCCCAAAGGCTAATCTCATCTTTTTCATTAAGGATTCTTTTTATGATTTTGCCCTAATGAAACCCACAAATTATTTTGATGATAAGAAAATAATTTACGATAAAAATACAAGTAGGATAGAGGAAATGCCAGTATGATGTTTAAGTTAGCCTGTGTGGCCTTTCAAAAAGTACATGTGCAGTTTCTGTCAGATGTTTTGGAATGGTGAGGCTCATTCTAAAACTTCACAGCTTCTTCTGAATACCTACAGATTATTCCAATTACTGCTCAGCAGCCCTGAGTCTTGCCCCTTCCAATTCATCCTCTTTATAGGCCTTGACAGTGGATCTTACTGCAACACAAATCTGATCATAATTTTCCTTTGCAAAAATCCTTGAGAGGCTCCCTAGTACTTCCTAGATAAAACTAAAACTGCCAAACACAGCACTGGAGGCTCCTGGGAATCTGGATCCTCTGGCTTTGTCTCTTACTATTCCTTACTGGTTCAGTCATACTGAACTAACAGTCCAGGTTGCCTTTGTATAGGATGCCCTTTTATCCTTATTCACTCATCCTTTAACATTACTTTCTTTTCACACCTGTAGGATGCCTTTCTGTCACCTATTCTCTCTTATACACGTACACGCAGTCACATACATATATCCTCCTAGTGCCCAGAATACCCTGCGCTTCCTCTATCATAATACAGATGAGCTACATTCTGTTAATAATTACCCATTTTCACAGCCATCTCTCTTGCTAGACTGTGGGCCCTTTGATGGCAGGAACCATGTCTTATTCTTATTTCTGGCACCAGGCCCACAGCCAAGCTCTGGCAAGTACTTATTAACTCATCAGGTCTGAGTTAACTCATCAGTGTAGACAGATCAGGTATACAGAACCACTGCCTTTCTACATCCACACCCCTGCTCCCATAGGAATTGCATTCCTCACCTTGATGGCAAACACAAGGGCCACTATTCCCAGGCAAGAGCAGCCACATATAATGCTAGTAGCTGCTAGGCAGCGGAGGCGGAGCCAGCAGCAGCGAATGGGGGATGGAGAACAAGCAGCTTCCGTGTTGCACACCAGGCTCTCTGCTGCATTCTCCTCGTCCTCCATCACCTGTGGGCGATACAGTCAAGATACTTGTAAGCCCAACAACTGAACTCTCAGCCTGCCTTGCTCAGACTCTCCCCCTCTCCCTAATCATGCTCTGGCCTAGCCAAACTCTCAGGAATGCTGCCTTACTGGGGAATTCCCCTAGTGACTCACAGACCAAGACAGGAAATGTGTGTCTGGAATCTCTTCCTCAGCCTAAGGTTCCCAGCCTTCAAAGGCAAAGTGGTGGGAACACAGCATTATCTGTATTACTTACTGTTTTGACAAGTGGGGAAAAGCAAAGTGACAGGTACACACTGAGAGGCAGTAGAGAAACAGTATCTCAAAAGGCTGCTAGTATCTCAGTCTACCCCAGGCAGTGATTTTAAACTGTATTTCAAAGGGCCCTCAAGTTCCTTAGAGGCTGCCCTCAAATATTAAGGAGGGACCAGAGAATGGCACCCTAAAGCCTGTACTCCATCTCAAGGAAATCAGTCATTTCACATGAAAACACTATCCTGAGGCTGGGGAAAGGAGAGGAAAAGCATCACTTAAGCTCTCTTGATAGCTAAGGAAACTCAACACCAGAAAGACCTCACCTCCCCATATCAAAGCCTCCCTTGCTATGCAGACTCCCTTCCACCTCCTCTCCCCATTTTAACCCAGGTTACACAACACAATCAGTTAAACACTGAGTCCAAATGACCTCATAACCCACACAGAAACCTGCATAATGATGCCCTACTTAATCATTTCTCATCTCCCCATTTCCCAAGCTCTCAGAGATCTGGCATCAAACCACCTTTCTACCTTCACCCCCAACCATTCCCCACACCCTAGACAGAATGAAACCATTTGCAGTTCTCTGAACACAAGTAACAAAGGATAGGAAGGATGAATGAGAAAGAGGGAAGACAAGCAAGGAGCCAAGAATGCCTTGTACCACAAAGCTGCAGAATGGATGTGAGGGAAGAACTCAGACTGGGTACACACAGTCATCAGAACACAAGGAGAGGGTCCAGTGAATTGAGATCAGAGAAAATGAAACAATGAACCGGGACTCTTACCTGGCGATAGGCCTTGAGGAACTGTTTGAGTTTCGGCTCCTGCTTCAGGTTTGATTTGGCTTGGGTGGAGATGGAGCTGACTCAGGGCTCCAAGCCAAGCCCAGGGGTGGGGTTCAGTGGCCAGCCACCATCTGAAGATCCCCAGAAGCTGGTAGGGGGTGTGGCTGATTCAAACCAGTCTGGCTAGATGGGAGGAAAAGCAAGGGAAGGCAAAGGATGGAGTAACTGGAGGTAGGATGCCTGCCTTCTAAAGAGGGAGTGAAAGCACCTGAGCAAGAGGGATTAAAGCAGGGAAAAGTCTGAGGCATCAGATAGCCCCAAGGGAAGTCCAGGAACCAAGGGAACAGAAGAAAGAGAAGTACGAATCTGAATGACTTAAAATTGAAACCTTAGGGAAAGGTACCCTACCAGATCAGATTTGCCTTGCTCCCCTCTTCTTGGGTGGCGACTTCTGCCTCAAAGACACAATTCTGGGTTAGAGATCAAGTACTAGGGTCTTAGCAAGAGAGGAGAAAAACGATACCCAAGTTCCCACCCAGCCCTCCACCAGACCAGAAAATCAGAAGCCTCCTTACGCGGATGCTCATACAGAAACTAAGTTTATTATTTTTTTCTTCTTAAAAAAAAAAAAAAAGAAAAAACTCATTGTAGAGAAGCCCCTCCCCCTTCCCCTAAGGTTGGGGGGGGGGCCGTGAAAGATAGCTGGGAACATCAAGTACAAAGGGGTGGGGACAGAGACTATCTTGCCACCCTTAACACTGCCCAGCCATGTGGGGTGGAAGGGAAAGGGATGTGTGAAGAGCCCCATTTCCATGACAACCAGATGCCTACCCCCTACTTTGGTGGAAAGAAGGGAGAAGGCCCCTATGTCTCCCTGGAGGATTTCCCCTTCAAAAGACTTCAAGTAGTGGTTAACAGAGTCAGGCCTGGTCATGGAGAGAGAGGGGCTGTGGCAGAAAGCCTAGGTGAAGAGGACAGGCCACTCACGTCTTGGCCTTGCGGCCTCTGTGACTAATAGTAGGGCCAGCCAAGTGGGGAGGGGCGCTGCTGCGCAAGATACGCTGGTCCCCTTGGGTGGTGGCCCCACCAAGCCGGCGGGGGCCAGGCCGGCGCCGTGGGGTCCCATCCCCTTCCTCCTCCTCACCTGAGGCTTCGGCCTCAGACTCCTCTACTGAACCCTCAGGCCCCAGGGGACTTGGGGGCTGTAGGCGGGTCCGCTTTGCCAGCCCAGGACCACTGCTGACTGGGGCCCCTGCCCGTTTGCGAGGCACCTTCTCAGTCTCTAGAGGGGGAACTAGAGACCCTGGACGCAGCCGAGTCGAGCGCAGTTTTGGAGCTAATGAGACCATGGGAGATGTCAATTCTAACCCGCCTGGCCCACTATCTGCTAAATCCAGGTCATCCTGAATTACAGCCACCACCATGGACCCTTCACTCTTTCGTCCCCGCATTCCCTCTGCTTCAAGACGTAAGCGGGCCAGGCGGGTGAGGGGGCGGCTTCCATCCTCATCAGATGAACTACCCTCACTCTCCCCCTGGCCCTGGGGTTGCCGCTGCTTCCCCAATCCACAGCTCTCGAGGACAGAAGAGCTGTCGCGGTCCAAGACAGGGAGCTGGCTGGGCCGAGGTGATGGTGGATTCTTGGGAGGTCGGCCTCGCTTCCGCTTGGGTGGGGACGTTGAAATGGAGAGAGTGGTGACAGTGTTGGCGACAGTAGCAGTGGGACAGGAGAGGAGTGATGGGAGTGGTGGCAGGGGTGGTGGTAGCGGGAGTGGCTGTGTCCGACTCTCTAAGTTGCCATCCCCTGGAGAGGAAGTGGTCCCAGGAAGGGGCAGATCTCGGGCCTTAGGGGGCCGCCCACGCCTTCTTTTCTCCACAGGTGATAGGATGATGGGCTCGGGTCTGTGAACTGGCTGGGGTCCGAGAGGCTGGGGCCCAGGAATAAGCTGGGGTGAAAGGACAGGCTCCGCAACAATAAGGGTCTCAGCCCCAGTGACTGGGTCAGCCCCATTGGTTTTTCCCTTAGAGGTGGATGAAGGTGCCTCATCCACCCCTCGCCCAGCATCCGCTGGAGACCTGTTCTTCTTGGGGGGCCTCCCCCTCCGACGTTTCACAGCAGGAGGGGTGATGGCAAGCAGTGCCCCTTCTCCATTTTCTGAGCTGCCCCCACCAGTTACCCCCAGCTCAATGCGACGGCGAGCTATGAAGGGCTGCTGGATTGGAGTGGGCAGTGTGGATGCGGGAGCAAATTCACAGGGACCGCTGGTGGGAGGTGAGGATTCTGGCCCCGACATGCTGCGGGCTGACGGGCTTCCCGGGCTGGTACCAGTCTCAGAGACCCCAGGCACAAGGGTGCTGGCAGTACCCCGCTGCTGCCGCCGTCGCCTCACCAGTTCCTTTTCCTCTACCACAGTCACCAGCCGTCCTGGCAGCTTGCGAAGCACTTTGGGACCTGGAGGCTGCCCTGGCCGACCAGCCCCTTGACCCCTAATTTCTACATCTGCACTGGTGCGACGCCGAGGGGGCCGGGCTGGCGAAGAACCCTCAGGTGTGGAGGTGGCAGAGGATGAGGTTGACGGGCCTGTGGCCTCAGCTGAAACAAGTTCCTGTGGTTTCTCTGGAGTAGAGGTTGGGGTCTGGGCCTCCACCAGTTCTTCCGAGTTCTTATCAGTCTCCAGTGGCTCTGGAAGTAGCTCATCAGATGCTGCTGAGGGTGGGAGCTCCAGCCTATTGCTCTCACTCAGACACGTGGGCATTTCCTCACCATCAGGCAGCACTGAGAGGATGGTCGCCTCGGCAGGCTCGGGCACCTCCTGCTCTTGACCGTTGGGGACGCTGCCAGCCGCCAGGGTTGGGCTAGGTGCAGAAGAGGTGAGAGAAAGGTTCTTCTCTGACACAGGCAGGATCTCAACAGCAACTGGCAACAGATCCTTAGGGGGCACAAGAGTAATTGGGGAAGTCTCGGAACTGGCCATATCAACCAGCTCCAGGGACTCAGTAGATGCCATTGCTTGTGCACACAGCTCTGCCTCAGGCCCCAGGCCCAAGGGGAGGTTGGTGACTGGTGGCGAAATGGGCACAGAAGGTAGGCCAAGCAGAAGAGGAGAGGAAGGAGTTAAGAGAGAAGTTTGGGCTGGAGGTGGGGTTTGAGCTGGTGGAGGAGTACAGGCAGGAGGAGGGGTACAGGCAGAAGAACAAGAGGGAGGAATCTGTGCAGAAGGGAGAGGTGGAGAAGGCAAGATATGGACAGGAAGCATGGTTACTGGGTTTGGGGCTGAAATGGGGATTGGGGGAGAGATTGGGACAGGGATTGGGGCAGGAATTGCTGCAGGAGCTGAAGCTGGAGGGGGTCGAGGCCTAGGTACTGGCCGGGGAACTCGTTCCCTGGCAGGGCTGCAGCGAGGGGGTGTGGAGGTGCTGCGGGTATGATGGGTGGATGGGACAGGAGTGTGGTTTGCCCCTTGAGTTTCAGCTCGGGCTCCACGAAGACGCTCACTGACGCGAGTCCCTGGCCTTTCAGGGGCCTTGGCCTTCTTACTGCGCCGGTGGCTGCCTCCACCAGTCCCACAGGAAACCTCATCCCCAGCCCCTGGCCCCTCCTCCTCCTCTTGGGGTAGGCGGAACACCTCCTCCTTGGCTTGGTCCAGGTCCTTGCGGGCAGCTTCCACTTGCTCCTATCAAAAACAGAGCCCAAGGACTGGTCAGAGGGAGGCAAGTAGCAGGTAGAGTAGGTGGAAAGCAGTCACTTTCCACTTCTATCCCCACCCTCAAGAAATACTCACTTCTGCCTGCTTGAGCTCCTCTCGGCTCACCTCCTCCAGGGAGGCTTCCAGGAATTTCATGGCATAGCGCTCAATGGGGGTCAGCTGTGGGAAAGAGCAGTGGTGATGAAAATAGCAACCTGGTGCCCAGGGCCCATCACTCATGATTATGTCATGTCTTCACCAGAGAAGAGAGACAGTCACAGAGTCCAGAGGAAGGGGCTATGGAGGGTGAGGCTGAGAACTAGTGGATCCAACACCAACCTGTTCTACAAGGGCAGCAATTTCCTGCTCAGCCCGGGACATTTCCTCATCTTCAGCCCCAGGCCGACCAGCCTCCTCTCCCTCACCAGCAGGAAACCCATCATTCTCATTGAATTCTGCAAGCTCAGCAACCTGCTCTGCCTTGGCCTGGGTGGCCGCACGAATATCCTCTTCATCCTCTGCTCGACACAATGCCTACAAGGGTGTGGAAAAGAAAAACCATGAGAAGTTCTTTCTTTACATCCTGTGATTTGATTCTGGCAAATGTCTGAGGCCAGATTTACACCAAAGCAGATTTACACCATAACTCAACTCTCTTCTGGGCCCCCCAAATTACCAAAGCAACACAGTGGTCCACGTAGGATACAACAGATTCAACCAGGAGTCCCATCAGGGACAAAATAACTATTTTTGTGACCTCTATTCTACTTACTTTCCATTCAAGTCAGCCTCATATCTTTTTAAAGCAGCAGTTTTTTGAATACAAAATAATCCATAATTCTTTTTTACACTGAGACGCCTCAGGACAACAGACAATATCTGATCATTCCCCTGAGATGAATATCCAGAGAGATCACACCAAAGTCACTGAGGGAAGTAGCCTAGAGCATAAGAGGATGGCACGTGGTAGGGAAAATTTTCTCCATGATAATCCACACCAGTAGGTTCTAAGCATCTGTCTACTTCCAAAAAACTACAAATGCCCAGACCTCACCCTTAAAAATCGTGATTTAAATAGAAAGACTGAACAGGGCCCAGCAATCAATCTTTTTCAAAGCCTTCCAAATGATTCTAGTATACATTACTGTTTGAAAAAAGAGTTTTATACCATATACAAAGCAATTCTTAATCCGCTATGCCATTTAACCCTCAGTTACTTCCTTCTAATTTAGCATTTCAGAAAAGTGGGAATTGAGGCTCAGAGGATTAAATGGATGTAGCTTAACAGACACTATCAAGAAGCACTGTTGGAATTCAAACCTAGAACCGTGGTTCTATCTATGAAATCAGGTGAACCAACAAGCAATCTACTCACAAGTATCAACGGTGAACTGTAATCTGGGAAGCAGCAGAAATAGTTCTTTCTCCTTGCACAAACTCAAGAGACTGAAAGATGACACACACTATAACCATTAGCTCTACTCTAGGGACTGTCCACTCTTTTTTTGCAGGGCAGGATCTCAGTTCCCTGACCAGGTATGGAACTTCTACAGTGGAAGCGCAGAGTCTTAATCACTGGACTGCCAGGGAAGTCCCTGCCCACTCTTTTTTTCACCTGCTCCAGGATATGGGTCTGCTTGCTGGCCACAGTCTCCTCCTCATCATCAGGGGCAGAAGGAACAGATGAGCCAGATGGCTCCTCCAGAGGCATATCAAACAGCTCTCGGATGGTCTGCTTTGGAAAGAACATACACAGAGTGTCAGAGCCAAAGGAAATGTTAGTCTCAGGTCTATAGCTATGAAGCTGGTAGCTATCAGTGGAATCAGAAGCATCACTGATTGAAAAGGCAGGTATGTGGGGGTCAAAGCATCCTTTCTAATAAGCAGCAGTAATTCCCATACGCACAGCAGTTCTCTCCTACACAGACTGGAAGATCTTAGTACCTGTTTAAAATAGGCTGTGGTGAAGTTGCCTCCCTCAATAGCCATATCTCCCAACATTCTCTTCTGATTTGCCTTTTTGAGGATGTTCTCTTCCACTGTCCGTTCACTGATAAGCCTAGGCGGGTGATGAAGGACATGTATAAACAGTCAAATACATCAATAAAACCCTATTAGCAAAGGAAAAATAAGGTAAGGGGAGACAAGGCAACACCTATATATGTGGACATCTCGGGTCTGGCCAATTCGGTGACAGCGATCCTGGGCCTGAGCATCCATGGTAGGATTCCAGTCGCTGTCATAAAAA